CGAAAATATTTCTGTTTTTCCTGCTTTATTTTTTTCGTTTTTCCACTTGCAATACGAAACCACTTGAAAGAGCGAAAAGAAAAACGCAGCAGCCAGACAAGATATTGATTTTGCACTACACCCAGATTTATTTCACCGATTTTGTGGAGCACATTGAGTCAAAAGGACTTTAAGAGCCGAGGCTTTAAGTGGCCGAAATAACGAGCATAAGGAGAGATAGAAGGAGAAGCTTGATGACACCACACTGGACTGAATGCCAAAAGTCTCAAGTTATGTCCAAGACAGAAGAATTTTGTCTAGCTGGCTGTTTCGGAATTCGAGGGCGTGTGCGTCTGTCTGTGCGAACATAATCTGGCCATCACACAGACACGTATCTCAGATTTAATGGTCAACCAAAGGCAATTTGGCAAATTATTAGAAAATCATTGTGTCACTTTATGTGCCGGACAAGGAAATATGAGTGCCTATAGCTCGGATCAGGTCCATTCGACCAGTCAAGCTGTCAGCCACACACGCAATTTGCTGGGGCTGTTGACCCACAATGGAGCTGCTCCCGATATTGTTTCGGGGCGATAACGTTACAACATTAACCACAACTAATATTTTAACTCAAGGGCCGGCTAAATATGAGCCAGGGAAGACAGCTTTTGGAGTGAGAGTGGGTGCCAGCCAGCCAGCAGCAATTTATGCACATTTATTGAAAAAGTTTTTCAATTTTGCAAAAAGCTTTGCCCCTTAACAAAGTAAGCCAACGACAAAAGGGTTAAAAATATGAGTAAGCTAATAAAAATAAGTGCAACCCACTCCAGCTCAAACAAAGGAAGACAAATCCGACCATCCGCATTCGTCTCTCAATTTTTTATTAAAAATTGTTTTGTGTGCCGTCTTGGCCACATTCAAGGTCCCAGGCCAGGCCACGCCAGGCCGGGCAAGATAAGATGCTTTGAGCCAAACCGAAATTGGGCTACCAAGAGCCCCGAAACAAAGTCAAGCACACAACACCCGGAACGCTTGAAACCAAATATACGGGGGGAAAAAAAATATAAAAATAGAAAGAAACGGAACAGAAAACCCACCAAATAAACATACACAAGAGACCCGACTCTGTTGTGGCGGCCCTGAGCCTTCAGCGATTTTTCACAACACAATTTAACAAATAAAAGCAGAAGGAAAACTACCAAAAAGAATAAATATAAAGAAAAACAAAAAACCTACTTGCCTGTAAGGACAACGCACACAAATAAAACAATAAAAGCCGCACAACCAAACACACAAAAACAACAAGTTTATTACAGATTTTACTTATGTGTTTTTGGTTGCCTGGGTGGCGGGGGAAACAGAGGTTGGGGCGGGGTCTAGGCCGGGCCAAAAGCTTGGTCCTTTTTACCGCAGGGCATTAATATATAGAGCACAACGTGGCGTCAGTGCAAGTCAATGACATGATTGCCCCATGGAAATCTCCCGCTGATGGGAATGACAAATCTCGTTGATGGAGGCCTTAAATATTTGCCAAGATTAGAAAGGAAATTCCTAGAATGCTTCAAGTGTTACATAATAATTTAATGCCTTCAAGGTTTGTACCTAAGCTTTTATAGTTTGCAGAACAATTGCTTTCCATTCCGAAAAATTCAGCCATTAAATGTAGACTCATAAAAACACTTTAAAACTTTCAAGCCAATTTCGTAGCACTTTCAAGTAAGCCTACACTCGAGACTGAAGTCTAAAAATCCACCTGAACCATTTTTCGATATGGCTGCCGTCCTCAATCTCATTCTACTACCAATTTGCCTGCCAATATTCCAGTCAGTCAGCCTGACGCTGTTGCTGCCAAATTGCCGACTCGTTCGGGCTGACAGTCGAAAGCCAAGAATAAACTTTAATTTGAAAACTTTTATGCGCAGCAAATAAAAGCGAATCGATAGCCGAAAATCGCCCAAGTGTCGTGGCAAATTGTTCGCCAAGTGTTGGACATTTTGCTTAAAGATGCCACAGCTCCACGCAGTTTAAGTTCCACATGCATATCCACGTGCCCGCACGTGCCTGACATTGACACAGATGCCGGGTTTTTTGCAGGATTGCTGGGTTGCAGGATGCCGGAATCGCTGAATTGCTGGGACCATACACTCTAAAAATTATCATAAAACTTGATAAATAAAATAAAGCTTTTATTACAAAAAATAATATAAATAGCTTTCGGCTTGAGTTTATTTTGTAAGTTATAGGTATTTTATTTTAATGTATTTTAATCAAGCCTCCTAGTGCATATTCAAGTGTAGAATTTCCAAGCTCAAAAGACATGTGGCCCACACAAGGCGAACTATATAAAACTAAGGGTAAAGCGGAAGTTTATTAAAACTAAAGCAAACAAAAGGCGCAAAGAGATAAAAAGGGTAAAGAAAAAATGCCAGCATAGAGAAAAATGCATGAAAAACCTCCAGGAAGAGCACTTAAACAATAAACATGCCATGCCCAAGCTGGGCAAAGTAAATCCGGGCACAAAGACCAACCAGTCAGCAGTAACATTTCCATACAAATAAAGTAGCGAAATAGCGAGAGAGATAGGAGTCGAGGCAAGAAAAGTAAATGCAGAGCATTACGTATACGCCACCGTGCCTGGAAAAATGCTGAGCTTGAACTGCAGCCAGCCGAGACGGGGCAGAGATACAATTTTGTGTGTGTTTTGTTGCACCATTGAGCGCGCCACTGAAGCAAAAAGTAGAAACTGCACCACCGAGCCACCAAGTCGAGCACTCAATGAAATGCATTGGTGCAAAGCAGAGGCGTGCCAGGAGATTGGAAATTGCACTTGGAAAATGTTTTCCAAAAACATACTTATTTTTGGGGATGATCTTTAAAAAGGGTCTTTAAAACGTTTAAAAGAAATCCTTTATTAAATTCTAAAATAGTTTTTATATATTTTATTGTTATTCTTTTTTTTTTGAATGTACTTCCGCAGGCATATGGCTGTCCTGGCTGTCAACTGCATTTGCATTCCTTGATAAAGCCGTTCGGGGTTCGCATTCGGGTTTAGCTTTGAGTTTGGCCATCTAAGTACGTATAAAATAAATCACAGAGGAGTGCAAGGCGTTCGGGGTTAAAGGAGGTTGCAAAATCCAATTTCAGCTCTCCCAGTGAGTGCGCCTTGGATTTTTATTTAAGCAGCTCTTCCTTCATTTTTTATCATTTTGTAGAAGTATGTTTTTTTATTTTGGCTGCAGCTGTTGGCCTTTACTTTTGTACACACTCCTGGCATCTGCATTCTCGAATAATGTACTTGAGAACTGCACTGCAAGTTATTTGCTTTGTCCCGAGCATTTGATTAACTAACGAAAATATTCACCAGAAAGAGGACAAAGGAACATCAAGGGGTGATAGGATCATATAAATATGCAATAAAGTCACTAGCAAATTCCTTCAAACAACCCTCGCTAATGTCTGATCATAAAATACAGCCCCAGAAAGTACGGAAAAAATATGGCACAGCAATTTGCAAATTATTTTCAAGCTGGCATAAAATAAACTGACACGAGCAGGGAAGGGCGCACTCGGGGCCCTTGGTTGGGGATCTCCAGCCAACACCAATCCCCAGGACTTACCAAAAAAGGACACCACCCCACCGGGAACTGTGGGATGCGTCAATCTTCGGCGAGCAAACAGACAGCTCATGTTGTTATTGCTGCCGCTGCTTCTGCCGTTGATATTTCCCTTATTTGTTGTTGGTTTTTGAAATCGACTTTCATGTCAATTGACTTGCGTACATCTGTCTGAATGTCTGACTGAATGGTGTTGGGGAGTTGGTATTAAGGGGGGATGTCGCCAAACTTATGGCCCAAATTTTACTGTTATGTAAGCAAACGGCTACGGCAGATGAAATGAAACGCCAGCTCCTTGATGATATTTGTCAATAAATTTAACGTAAACCAGTCAGGGACTTTTTTTCTCGAAAGGTATTTGTATGCTTGTATGTTCAACATACTTTGCGGGCAATGACAGGGAAACCGTCGACAAACAAAGCTTTCATGGCAATATTTTTATTAAATCACTGGAACAGCTTAACCTTAAATTCCAGAAAATCAATAAAATATTGCAGTATTTTAAAGGTATATAGATGTAAAGCCTGTCCGAATATTATAAATAAATTGAAAAGCTTTTTAATTTGCAAATCCTTTTAAAGTATTACGAATAATCTGCATAAGCACCGTATTATATAAGAGGCTTTTCAAAAGTTTGCCAATCCCTTATCCTGACCATCCATCAATGTCCTGCAATCTTCCCAAACAGGTTATTATACCTTTGCTGGTGGGTTATCAAAATGCCATGTTCGACTTTAAGTAGACATTGACAAATTAATTTCGCAGGGTCGAGTTGTCCGACTGCAAAATAAATAAAAAAAAAAACAAAAATAAAGAAAAGGGAAAGGACACTGCACACACACATATATTTGTGCATTATTAGGCCGGCAATGAGTAAATCAAATTTGCGTCGTTTTGGGGCCAGATGCTGTGGGTTGTCAGTTGACAGTTGGGTTGCTGGAGTGGCCTTCCTGTCGCTTGTCTGTACCGGAAATGAAATGACCCAGTTAAATGATTTATAGCAGGCACATGCCTACTCCACCCACACATATGGACCGGCATCGGTTGGGTTTTGGGTTTATTGCCGGCAGCTTAGTGGACCCCAAAAGTGTGCATCCCCTCGAAATTCTATTGCAAAAACCGTGGCTTGTTGCTGAGCGTGTTGAAATTATAATTTCATTAGCTGCAATCAACATAAAAATAACACTAAAGCCAACAGCCAAAGCGCTTTGAAGTCGTAAAGCCAGATTAGAAATTAAAAAGGTATAAAAGGGGAAAAAACAAGAGGAACAGGGAAAGTAAGCACACATACAGACACCCCGTTGTCAGAGAATTAAAAGCAAGTTTTACCTTTCGTACATTTTGCATTCACACAACAACAGCCAACAAGAGCGTAATTACAAGCAATTTTTTCACGTTTTATTACAGATTTTAAGCACGCGACGACAGCCACTGCGACGGGGGAGAGCTTCTCCCACTGTAATGTGACAACAGTTGGGCCAAAACATAAAAAAAACAGGAGTGGAAGGAATGCTCGCTTTTTAATTGACATTTGCTCGAGTTGAGTTGCGTTTTGTTCAACAGCAATTAGCCGGCCAATGAAAGCGGAACTCGCTGGGAAAAAACTGGAAAAAAAACAATATTCAAATCCAAACACAAAAGGCGCACAATTAAAATTGTAAAACAATTCCAAAACGCCAGCTACGTTTCTAAATAGAATGATCAAGTTGATTTAATTAAAAATTCTGAGACTCGGCCCCCTGGGGTATGCAATGAAATTTTAACAAGCTAGAGCAATGGCCGCCGGTCGACCGGAAACGCAGCCATTGCCCTCGGACGACATCCGCCGCTGACACTTGTCACATGTTTGGCCGAAAAAGGCGAAATGCGCACGTGACGTCCCAGAAAATAGTCAATGAACATGCGGATGAAACGAGGAAATGAATGAGTCAGAGTCCTTCCAGCAGCAACAGCATCAGCAGCAGCAGCGAATGGCCATATTCAAAATTGAACGTTAAACGTTCGCACGTACCGAGCATAAATTCCAAGTGAAATAAAAGGCATTTTCGGGCGAGAAACAGAACAGCAACCCTACCTCCCAATTTACAAAAAAAAACCCTGGGACAAAACCAAAAAAGCGAAAAATAATAGCAGAAGGGAAAAACTGGGGCAAAAATGGTGAAAATCGTGAATAACCAACAATGTGATCTAGGCCTGGCCCTGCTTATGGCCTGGACACTGCTAACGGGCACGGGGGTGTTGGCTGACAGCACCACCGCAGTCCGGGCAGCTGCCGAACGGGAGGAGCAGCTATTATCCCAGCAGGATGTGGGTCTCAGCTACCAGAGTATACACCGAATGCTCAGGGACGAAAACGAGCCGGCCAGCTTTCGGGGGGAATTGCGTTACCAGCAAAAGCGCCACAAACGGGAGTTGGAGCTTAATGCCCCGGCCAACAAGCTGAATCTCACCCACCGGGATCTGAGGACCTTCAACAGCAGCGATGGTCAGTGGAAGGGCGATTTCCAGGTGATCACAGCCATGGATCTCAGCAGCAATCGGCTAAGCAGCCTGAGTTTGGACAACTTTAAACAACTGAAGCAACTGGATTTGAGCAACAACTCTCTGAAGGATATACCCCTTAGCTTGACGGACAACAGTGATAGTTTGTCTTTGGAAACTCTCGACCTATCCTGCAATGAGTTTAGGCAGCTTTCCGCCAGTTTTTTCTCCCAGCGCCTGCCACAGCTCAAGAATCTCAATCTGGCCCACAATCAGCTCATAAACATATCGCGAGAATCCTTCTACAATTTGCTGGACTTGCAGACTTTAATCTTGAGCCACAACAATATATCGGAGATCGACTACGAGACTTTCCTGGCTCTGCCCAACCTGCAACACTTGGACTTGTCGCACAACCATCTGAGTGGCTCGGCGATTCGAGCTCTGCAGGGAATCCCCGATCTGGTCAGCCTCTCGATCGCCTACAATCCGGAGGTCGGCGGTGCAATGCAGGAGTTTGTCGCCTCCTGGAGCCTCAAGGAGCTGGATGCCAGTGGCACAGGACTCTGCCAGGTGCCAGCTGCACTTGCCCAATCAGTAAGGACCCTGAAGTTGTCAGACAACTGGCTAGGGGTAAGTACACAGAAAATATATTTTATATTAGAAAATAAAAATATTTAAAATTGTCAAAATCAAGAAGAATTATTATTGACCAAGATATAGCTATTGCTGTCATAAAAATATGGATTAAAATATTTATTATTTCGGTGTGTGATCGATATATTAACAATTTCCAGACGTCTTGTGGAGCCAATGAACCGCAATTCGACGCTTTTGCCGGCAATTAACGGCACATTCCCGACAGACACTTGCCATCTTCGTCCTTGTCGGCATACAGACTTGAGTCCTGCACCGGCAGGCTCCATTATGCTCCCTGAAAGCTCACCGCTCCCTTTTGCCATTAATTAGCATCTGTTATGTGGCCTGTGCGCACTCTGCGTGCTTGAGTGCGTTTTCCTTTTGCCCTCTGTGGCATGGCCCCTCGCCCTGGCCCCCACTTGCCACTCATCTCCCCTGTCCCCTCCTCGCATCACAGTAAAACAAGCCAACAGAGCCACCGCAAGGCAATCTCCCCACGCGTATGATTTACACTTTGTTATTTTTAAATTTTTGCCCCCGCCATTTTTATTTGTCTCTCTTTTACTTCCGCCTTCGATTCTTTCCAAAGAAAAACCAAAAAGAGGAGACAGGGCTGAGGGGGAAAGGGGAAGGGGATTTTATGTGCTGTTAATTTTAGCATTGGGAGCTATTTTATAGAAACAAGAAACTCCTATTGATTTTTTTGCATGTTTGAGGTTTCCAGAAAAGTTGTAGGATGAATATTAATTGGAAATATTCTAAATATGTAATGTTTGAATGAGTTTGATTAAAAATAACTGAAACTTTTTTTTAAATTTAAAATAGAACTTCTAGATTTTTAAACTATTTAGTTTTTTCCATCAAAAATAACTATAAGAAGACTTATAAGAAAAAATAATATCTTGAAACTGTAGTCTTAAGAGAACGTAGAAGTGCTTAATTAATCCATTTCTATCGGGAATGCTAGCCATTTTAAGAATATGGCCTCTGTTAGGAAAGCATTCTCCTTGAGTGGCAGTTGCAGGCATTGTTAAGCCCGCTAGTCCGGCTAACAGGACACGCCACTCAAGTCTAGTTAAGAACGTAATTAAGACACAATGTGGCCACACAATGGAATAGCAAAGTGCACTTCTCACTTTTCAACAAATGCGAGTGGAAAACAAAGGCAAAATAATGGAATGGGGCGCGTTCAAGTCTTAATAAGAAAAGAAAAGCAATAAGGCCATCGCAGAGGGGGGTGAAAAAGCCGGACAGCAGTGGAAGTCAGAAAAAAGCCGGCAGCGAGCTATTCTCTATCCTGTGTATATGTATATCCTGGCAGGCTGATTGACATAAGCAGCAACACGAGCTTCAGATTAACGCGGCTCTGCGCCCTCCGCCTCGTTGAATTGCCAACACTTATACAAAACGTTGGCAAACAGATTTATAAGGGGCACAAAAATAGACAATCCCGATTGCATTATGAGCATAAAGCGCCCCAGGTCTGCAGGCTTCCTTGCGCCCAGGTATTATCCTTAAACGGCTTCAAGTGTAGACAAACAAATGCGGCGCATAAATTGCTCCAGCCGCCTTTGTCGCTCGCTCGATTATGGCGGAAGCCATAAAAGGTGCAAAAACGCCGCCTCGTAAGCTGTTTAGGGCCAGAGACAAAGGCACTAAGGAGCAGCAATAGAAACAGGAGCAACAGGAGCGGGCAAAAGCAGCAGCAGCATGAACTGCCAGGCTAGGACCAGGACCAGCACTAGGGGAAGAGGCACCAGGCCGAGCCTGGGCATTAATAAAATAAGGATAATTGGCATAAGCATAATCACGTTTAAGCCAACAGCCAACGTGCAGCTGAGACAGGCGAGACAGGAGCCAAAATTAAATTTACACAACAAAAAAATGAAAATCCTTTTCGGGAGTTGAACAAAATATTATATTTTAAATAACGTCCTTACTTTCGAAAAAATATTTAAAAAGAGGCTAGGTCCCCAAAAAAAAAAATAGGCAACTCAAACTGCAGCTTGCAAAGTGCATTTTCTCTTTTAAAGCCATCGGGTGTTTTATGTTTTTCTTCCAGTGCAGTAACCAACTATCTGGGCTATTTTTTCTTTGGTTCCTGAAGTGGCTCATCACTGCTCCCGGGCGCCTTTGTTGCCAAGCCATTTTAATTTGTTCTCCAGACCAGGCCGACTACTGCCTTTTGCTGCTGATACGACTGCTGCTGCTGCCACTGCCACTGCCTTTATCGGCAGTCAACACGCAGCCTTTTCATGGCAAATTATGGCGTTTAGGGCCCGCCGGTAGTCGCCTGTCGACTCTCTGCACTCCGTTGCCAGTGTTAGGCAGTGGAAATCCGCAATTCTACCAATTCTTCCCCGCCCAAAGTTGTACACTCATTTCTTCGTTGCCCGCAGGACAAAGACGACGGCAGGCTGTCTGGTTCGATGGTTGCCGGGCTGGGTCGTTTCATTTAACGAGTCGCGTCTATGTTTACTTTGGCAGTAGACGAGCTTCATAGCTCTGAGGCATCGCGCAGGATTGCACAGAAAGGGGCAACTGGCGCCGCGTCCTTTGAAGTAATTATAATGGCAGATTTAAGTTAATTTTTAAACAATGTCGGTGCCGGGCATGCAGCTCACACTCGCACTGCCACTTTCCCTCTTTGTCAGCCACTAATCAAATTTCCCCAGACTTTCGCGCCCAACAATAAGTTCCTGAGTGGTTGAAAAAATTAAGTGGCTAGACTGGAATTGCCAAAAGAAAGTTAAAGTCATTTTTATAAAATTTAATATAAATGAAAAACTTAATCCTTGTAGATATAATACAAATAATAAAATCCTAATTTTTTTTTTAGGCCATCAACTGCGGTGATATGGACAGCTATCCTTTGCTGCAGTACCTGGATCTTTCCCACTCCCGCATCGCCCAGGTGGAAGACGACGCTCTGGGACGATTGGAGCTGCTGGAGTCCTTGTTTTTGGATCACAACCTTTTGATGCGAGTGCCCAGCAGCCTGCCTCCCTCGCTGGAACACCTCTTCCTGCAGCACAATCAAATAATGGAGCTGCCCCCCCAGACTTTTGTCGGGCTGGTGAACCTGCAGACCCTGGACCTCTCCGGCAACCGTTTGATTTTCCTGCCCGCCCTCTCGCTGCCCAAGCTGCTCACCCTGAACCTCCAGTCCTCGGGAGTGGAAAGTGTGAGTCAATCGATAGTTCACACGCTGCCCCAGTTGCGGGACCTGCTCCTGGAGGACAATCCCATCCGATGCAGCGACCTGCTGGGCATCGCCGAATGGGCCAGTCCATGTCGGTCGGTGCAAATGGAAGTGGGTCAGTCGAGTCCTGTGCGTAGCGGAGAACTGGATCTGAAGGCTGAGTATTTGCAGTTCCACGACTTTTATGAGAACTTCCCTGGCAGTGGCAGAAAGTGCGGTGCAAGAAGGCCTGCGAATGACACAACGCCACCGAGTTGCAGTCTAGTAAGTACCACTGCAACATCAACGTCAAAAGCTTTGCCAAAAGTGAAAAAGTCAAAGGCAAAAAGTGCAGAAGCAACCACAGAAGCAGTTATTGCCTTGAAAAAGGACAAAGTTGAAGCCAAAACAACATCAGCAGAAACATCTACTGAAGCACCAGCACCAGCAACATCATCAGCAACAGAAACAGCAACCCAATCAGCTGGCAACACCGCCACCGTCCAGTCAACCACAAAAACTTTGCGGCCAACAGCAACAACTTCGTTAGACCAATTGCAGGAGCAAGAGCCAAAACAAACCGCAGCAACAACAAGAACACCACCAAAGAGCCAGCTAAATTTGGTTGGGGAAAAATCAACATCAACGACTACCATTTTGGCAGCAGCTCCAGCACCAGCAGCAACAGAAACACCAGAAACCCCAACAACAGCAATAAATTCGAGCCAAACCGAACAACTTACAATGCCAACGAACATTAGCGATGGCGCAAAAACAACGACATCGCCAGCAACAACGGCAACAGCAATTGAAGTGCCACAAAAAATATCTCAGGTCGGGAAAAAATCTGACAAAATGCCAGACGAAAGGGCACAGGAGACTTTATTAAAATACCCGTCAGTGAAGGCAACAGCAACATCACCGCACAAACATGCAACATTGCAGCTGCATGTAAAGGATCGCCATCTAATTGGCACACCGTTGCTGATGCACAAGGGCGATGTCCTTTTGGTGGACGCCGAGCAGTTGTTGCTGCCAGGAACGGCCACGGTGGCGGATGCCGAGACGGAAGCGGATTTCCTGGACAAGAGCCAGCAGAAGGGAAAGCTACTGTTAGCGACTGATAAGCGGCACCCGGAAGCTATAAATGGCGACACAAAGTCGCCAAGCAAAAGCCACAAAAAGAAGCCATCGCTGAGTATTAAGAAAATGACCTATAGCACCAAGCATGCAATAAAAACCTTAGCCACCACAGCAGCAGGTCCTGCTTCAACATCCAGCCTGCCGCACGAGCAGCAGCCGCATCAGCATAGCAGTGTGAATACGCCCAAGGATTCTGCATCCCAGGAAGAGCTCAGTACTTTTGCTCAGCTGAAGGCCTATGTGGAGCTGAAAACCGAGTCCAAGCCCGAACACCTGATGGATCAGCGACATGAAAATCTGCACAATATTTCCGGCAGTCATCCTGGGGTAATGTTGCTGGTGGCCTGCATCCTGGTCATAGTTTTGCTGGCCGGATTGGCTCATGTTTATCGCTGCGAGTTGCCGTGGCAGAGGGGCAACCGTTCCGGTCAATTACGTCCGCATCTTCAGAGGCATCAGTTAAACGAGAGTGATGATGTGCACAGCTTCCTGCACTACCAGGGATCCGTCAACTCTAATTCGACGGATCCGGCTCGCCTCCAAAAGTGGCACCACAGCACTCGAAGAGAGGCACCCTACAGCTCACCGCTGCACAACCTGCAAGCTCGCGAGTTGCAACAGCAGCAGAGGTGCCAGCAATTCTACAGCGCCTCGCTAGCAGGAAGCACTGCCTCCACATCGTCCTCCTCTTCCGGAAGTAGCAGTCGGAGTAGCTTACACTCCCCAAGCCGCGAGGACAGCTACTATATAGAGATGGCGCCCAGCAGTCCGCCACCAGGAGTCGTTTCCAGCCTGCCCATGGAGCTCTTGGGCGGCAGGGGTGGAGTCTCCGGTTGCCGGGCAGACCGGATGGCTGCCACCGATCTGGGAGGCACCACCGGCGGTCTAACTGCCGGACCATCATCCACAGCAGCTATTAAATCGGTGAGCAGCAGGCTGATGGCTCCCAGTTCCCGAAAACTGGGCATCTGGTGACAAACCGTCTTCGGTCAGCGACAATATGCACCCTTCCAGTAGAGAAAAGAACTAGGATTATAGAAAGTAGGGCCCGCTTTATACCCGACAACTGCCAACTAAGTAGAGTTTATTATTTTAGCATATTAAACTATTTCTTTCATTTTATATTCTTCATAATTTTTTTTCCACAAATAAAACTTCCATCAACTATCAACGCCTTTCTCGAAAAGCCAAAAAACGACAATCAAAAATTGGAAATCGGCTAAGAAGCAACAAACAAACTTTCCTCAAATACAACTTTTTCGAAAAGTTCAGCAGCAATCCTACTGAGAACTTGGCGAAATATATTTCCGTATATCTTATGTATTTCAGTAAGTCAGGCCAAGCATTACATATATTATTTTGAGTTGGCTCCTGGCTTGATTTATGATGCCATGCCGCCCACACGTTGCAAGCCTCTTAGCGTCTCGGTTGGCAGCAACAATTTGTCATAAATGGCTCTTAGGTATACGAGTGTATAGAGGGAAGGGCAGACGAGCAGACAGGCAGAGAAGCAGCCAAATGCCAAATAGCCAACGCCGGCAAAGTTTTACGAGCAAACCAGGCCAGGCCAGGAGCCAGGCCAGTGTCCATCTTGTGGTCGTATTTGGGTCAGTTTACTGGCGGGCAGTGCCCGTTAACTTTATATAAGTGCCTGTCCGGTTGCCAAGATTAAGTGTTTCGATAGTCATGCATATAAAAATGAAATATCGATCAAGTATTAAATAACAATTTAGTTTATGACAGGCTCAATTCGGTAATCAGAAAGAAGTTGGCTTCTGGCCGACGATGCTGACTAAGGCGGATGAGTGTCTAGGAATTGGTTCTCCAATCTATATATAAATTCAATATCTTTATCCTTTGGTGTCCTGTCCTGTACTCTTGCTGTTAATTCGATGCTTGACTGCGTCTTAACCCAGTTCTGCCAGCTGCTTGAGATTCCCGGAGTTAAAATTGCAATCTAATTAAAGTTTCGCCCCTGTGCTTTTGTGAAATTTCACCCAAAACACTCACCCTCTGGCATGTGGCCGGCATTCTTTGGCAGTGGGGTAGCAGCCACCCTCATCCTGAATCAGTCAGCACTTAACCTCGTTTTACAAATTGACCGACACAACATATGGTGTAAATCCAACCAAACGGCCCGACATCTAATCTGCCACGCCAAAAGTGAAATGTTGTAAAACTATTTGGGATGGCCCGTCCGGACACACACATAGAGATACAAGTATCTAAAGGCATCAAAATAATGTGGCAGCAAATCAAATTACAGGACACGCGGCCGGCTCTATTTTTAGGCAGGGAGGGTGAAAATGGGGCAGGAATCGGACAAAGGACGATGTCTTGAGCGACCAGAGAACACAACAATTACATTAAGACGCGATAAAAAGTTGTGCAACAATCTTCAGACCCCGACCGCTTAGCGAAACTAAACCGAACTGAAGATGCCACCACCACCAACACCACCACACCACCACCCTGTTGGAACCACAGTCATTGCACAGCTTTTTCAACTTTTTGTGGCTTTGTAATTGGAATACAAGACGAGGGCGCGTGCATACGAGCGGCGACAGCAACAGGAAACAGTCGAAGCGGGGAAAGTGAAACAGAGAAAGCTAGCTTTGTGCACTTGAAAAAAAACTTAAAGAATAATGTTTTCAACAGGAGTATTCTTCTGACAGCATTTCTCCCAGTGCAGATAGATACAGGCCCGTAGAAGAGGCGTTCATGCGAAGTGCGCTTAAGCAATTCAGAAGGATTTATTTTGGGCCACAAAAGCGAAATGCCCCACAAAACGCTCGGAACAACAATTAAAGTAATGCTGACCAACCGTCTAGGCCCGATTGGGTGGGATTAGATGGTGGCAGGCGGGGAGTCCCTGGATTCTATGGCCTCTCCACTCTCCAGTCGAGTGGAGTCCGATGCCAAAACGCACAAAATCTTAATTAAGGAACTTCCAAGTGTCGGCAGCAGGGACAATCGGGCAAAGGACGAAGAGGAAGCGTTTTTTGAGAGTTTCAGAGCAATGGGCAGCCTTTTTATATTTTTTTATTTCTGGCTTGCCAGCACAGCACAAAATTCGCCTACAAAAGAAAACCTTACTTGGTGGGGCGAGGGCTGGAACCGGACCTAAAAGTCCGGTCCGGTTTAGTCCTGGAGCATTGTCAAATTTAATGAAGGTTTCCAAGGACTTTGTGCTTATGACACTGACCAGCTGGCCAAGATTTAGGAAGTTTCCCAGAAAAGGAGAAGCAACTCAAATGAGTTAATTCGATATTTGACACTTTCGGAGCGCATTCCGCCCAATCTCGATGGTATGTGATGGGATGGATAGCAGGACCCGGACTCAGGGACTTTGGTCTTTGGACTTTTGTCTCCCAGCGCAGTTAATAAAGTTGGTCCTGGCCAGGACGTAATTATTTGCCTGCTAAATGGCTTTTGGACGACATTTCGGGACCGTAAATGGGGGCGATTTAGAAAATTATGTGAAAATAAGTTGCCTTTGTTTGGCCATTGGCCGTTGGCAGTTGGCGGTTGGCGGTTGTTTTGGGCCGTAAATAACGGCTCATAATTGGGCGGACTCTAGGAATTACCGGCGGAAGGGGGCACCGGAGGTCTGCAAATAGAAAACAGGACTCGAAATAGGCAACTCTATGCCGTATGGATAGCAAACAATAATTAAACTTAATTGCTCTGTACATTGAATCATCAAACTGTAAATTATAGTTAATAGCAATTACTTGTAGCGATGTTTACTCAAACTCAAATTTCAATTCTGAATATTGCATGTACAATTTCCATAGAATATGTATTTAAAATTTACCCACAACAAGAGTAAGAAAACTGAAAGCAAAATATTTAAAAGTAAAATAGAACGAAGCGGAAACCAGACAACGCAATTCGAAATTCGCCATTGGAGTAACGTTAATATTTGCATTTAATTTGTCGAAAATCAAAGTAAAATGCGATAAAAAGCCACAATAACAACAAAAACTAATTGCCAAATATTTGACGTACAGTTTGTAGCGTTAGCCATTAAAGTCTATATATATACATATACGTTTACCGATATATACAGAACAAAAATGACAAAAGCGAGACGCATTCTGGCGTTAAGCCGAGCAAATAATTATTAAACAAATACTTCTATTTACAAAAATGCAGCAAATATTTAGTTAAGCCAAAATGCCGGGCAACATTCCATATTTTAATTAAACAACGGGGGACTATTTCAGCAAAAACTGAAACTCCCATAAGTAAAGTTTAAACAATAGGTACAACATAATTTTACAGGTGTATTTGTAAATAAAAAACCAAAACTGATTGTGAAAATATAGGAAATAAAAAAATATCGCTGAGACACAAGCCAGCAAGCAAATAAACAATATTTGTGTGGTAGCTGTTCAAAATGAATTATTTGCCAGAGAGGCAGTTCGATATATACATATTAATGTTAGGATTAGTGCTGCCAAATAGGTTGATGAAGCAAACTAAGGTATATATTTGAAAGCTAAAATAAAGTAGAGGTAAGAGAAATGTATTATTGATATAGAAATTATGGATAGAAATTAAAATTGTAAAGATAAAAGGGCAAACATTTTATGAAATCTTCTCGAAAACAAAAACACACTTTTAATGCAAACCAAACATTGAGAAATATGTGAAAATAATAAAATTGAAAACTTTGATTTAAATGGTAAATATACATAAAATTTGATGAGTTATTTTTGTATTTTCAAAGGTGATTAAGGTAAGATCATATTTTATTAAAATGAAAATAAGCTACAGAAAAGTAAGTATGCACAGAACACATCCCTCCCATAATTCAGCTCAAGCCACGAATGATTTATTTAAGACTCAACCGATTAAGTCCAAACCTAATTGAAACTCAAGATCAAACCAATCAAACAGGGCAATAAAAATAAACGTTAAATTAGTGACACATGCGACAGTTAAGTTGGATACAAATGGGAATAAAGCCACGACTAAATTATGCCAATACCCACATCATCCACCCACCCAGGGAAATGCCCAGAAGGAAGCTAAATGCTCGAGACCCAACAAAACGAGCAACATTTTTATTTCAAATCCAATTATTTCACATCGAAACTGCAATCAGATGATTGCGTTCAGCAACAGGAAACATACACATACATATGTACACATATATTTGCTATATACTACAAACATACATATATGCTGTGAAAATGGCCGACAAAATGAAAGTCAATTGGTTTTTCTTGTTTTTTTCATCTTATTGTTCTCTGGCCCTTTTGTGGCGTTTTTGTTTCTTTCCATATATGTCTGTATATATGTCGTTAGTATCGGGGGAAAAGGGCAAAAACAAAAAATAAAACGGCAAAAGGCGAACACCAGACCAAGGCTGAAACTGTCGCCACATTGGGGGAACTGGGCGCACATGTCAAGAAATTGTTATGCGCCCTTGGACATTCAATCGTATGGGCAGGAATTAAATATTCAATATTGCAGCGGGACAGGCCCAGTATTCAATAACAGCCAAATTCCAGCATGGGAACGGGAATGTTAACCGAAATGCGTGCCCCATAAAAAGGTTAATGGTAAAATAATAAAAATATAACGAAATTTGTGCCAACAGATGAACAGAGACATACGGCGACAGTTTGATGACAAAATGTCATTTGGAATCAATTTCTTTTCATTTTTTTTTTTTTTTTTTTTTTTTGCTCACAAATTTGATGGGGGCAAAGATGTCAGAGTCGATGGGAAATTTGCAAAGCTGGTTGGCTCGCTGGCTGGTGGCATTTCACTTTTTTCCCATTGCCATTTACGTTTATAAGTGGGCTGTCGGCACTTAATGCAGTTGGCTTTTGACAGATGCCGGGCTACCTACAAAGTATAGGCCAGAAGGACATTATCTCTGATTAACCCAAATAAGCACTCTCAAAGGACAACACGGTAAAAGGGACACAGGAAGCGGAAAAGGTCACAAAGTCCCTTGCTACGGAGGATATGTTTTGTTCACCAACTGGTTGTTGACCAGATTTTTAAAGAGCTTATAGAGAAAAAGAATACTTTAAAATATAAAAAAGGATATCAGGTAAGAAGATGCCATTATTCATAGAGTGATAAAGCAATTACCCCGGTAATTGTTCCACTATTGGCTTTCAGAAAAATCCATCCGATACCCCAATCCTAAGTTAATTTTAAACTTTTGGGGAGTCAACATTTTTTTATGCTACTGCGTGTTATTTTGTTCGTATTTGGTAGCGCAGCTGGGTATAAACTTTATCTAATTGATTTCGGAGCTGTGCAGCCAAATGGTGCTCCATTAGCGTCAGTCAAGCATAAAAAAGCAACGGAAGGCAACTGACATACGTACGTAGTTTTTTCCCGTTTGACGTTTATGTGCAAATGTACATATAAATATGCAAAAAATTCTGCGGATGGTGTGGATTCTTGATGTGCTGGGAAAACACCAGAGAGATAGCCATACGCTGTCGTATAGGGGTATGGCACTGGCAACTTTAAATTGCATTCATTTTTAATGCACCGCAGCCAAAAAGCACGGCCACATTACGTATACGCAACGTAGTGCACTCTAGGGACACATTGCTTAATTTCAGCCCTGCCTGCCATCGCCCAAACCACCCAAGTGCGTCGGGGGTGTTCGAGACGTGTGTGTGAGTGCCACACCCACAGCCGCGCACACACACGGACACCCAGCCACGCACACAGTTGTACTTACGAATGTCAAATGTGAAAAAAGCGGGCCGGAATTATAAAATAAACCCTGACTTTTTTATACTCTATCAAAGGAGGCTCTTAACTTTCACAGAAGTTTACTATCCTATTAGGTTTTTAAAAATAGTCATTGGTATTATTTCCATGTGAACAAATGTGGGAATGGGTTTGATTTAATTAAAGGCAAATGATTAAATTTTGTATATATTTGACGTTTTTTTTTTATTGTACTATACGTATGCCGTTTGTGGTCAGCGGTTTAGCTTGTAAATTTTAGTTTTCTTTGTGGTTTTAGTTATATAATTAAGCCACAAGCACAAAAAATACATGTGCTTGATAAGGGCATACCAATCTAGGCACCTGATCCTGGATTTTAACCGCACATGCCTGCGAAAGAGTAAAAGAAAAACAGGAAAGGAACCGTGGCAGTTGGAGTGCTTTATTTTGGGATGGGGTAACGATTTCATTTCATGGTTTTGCACTCGTTATGACTTTTACCTTACGCTCTATTCCCGCTCCCTACTACTACTTCTTTTTCGCCCCTCTTACCGCTTTTTGCCCACTTTTTATTGTCGCCCAGTTGTGAACGAGCGTCCCCAAAGTATGCAACGTTTTATGTTCACTGAAGGTAGAATTCCACTCTCCACACACACACACACACTGGGAATTCTCACGCACAACCAATGCGACAAGTTTTTTCAAGTTCGTAAGCCCAGCGGCCAACTTTTCTCTTTTTTCAATTTAAAGTTAAAATTTTTGGGTTATTTTTTCACATTACATATTTTGAATGTTATTGCCGGCAACTGCGGCTGGCAGACCAAAGGCTCGAAGCTTCCAGGAGGAAAGTGAGAGCACAGGTGTGGTTTGTGTGTGTTTTTATTTATGAATAGTAGGAAAAACACCCAGATATACAAAAAAGCGAGGGAATAAAGAAAACAAACAAACACGAGATGAGCCAACATGGCCATTAAAATGCAAAAATAAGTAAAGTAAATCAGACGTTAAATCCTGGCAAATTTTTTCGAATTTACACAAAAATATTTCATTTAATAGGTTGTAGCAGAAAAGAAAAATGCACATAATATTTACTGCCACTTTTGAAGCTTACCAGACTTAAATACCAGCCTTATTACAATTTTTTCAAAAGGCTTTTTTTTCCATAAAACCCGATAATTCAAGAACTTTAAACGTTTGAAGCTCAAAGAAGTATTATTAAATTGCTTAGCAAATTGAAAAGGCAAATAGAATCTACCTGATGAAAAGCCAAACACAAGATCCAGATAAACTAATCAAGGTGAACGAATGGAGAGCTATTAAACTGAAAGTAACTACCCAATAAAAATGGTCAGCTGAAAGGCAAATCAGTGTCAAGCCAGCGCCAAGTCATGGCACCTAATTGAGTAAGTGTCATCACCGGACCATCCACATCCGTATCCGGAACTCGGGAGTTCCATATGAGTGTATGTGAGTCCGGGTGTTGTGGTTGACGTCTGGTATCGCACTCTTTGCGCCAGTGGATTTGGAAAACGGGGACAGTAGACGACGACACGTCAAGTTGCAAATATACTGCCAAGAGGTGAAACACTCGAAGAAATAAATAATTATTTAAATATAAAAGTCAATTTTATTTCTATTTATCGCAGGTTTCAGTTTAAGACTTTATGGTCTGTAATGCCTTTGATTTTCAAGATCTTAACTATTTAATAAACTATTTTCTAAAGTGTAGTATCTTTTCAGTTCAGAACTCAGTTCTGTTGTGTCCAAATGACTCTGGGCTTGCTGTGTGTGCCATTGTGGATATTTTATTTCATTTTATTGTATTTTATTCTGTTCCCAGCTCGTATTTTTTTTTTGCGCACTTTCGGTTATGTTGTTCTGGGACGAGCTTTGTTGTGTGCTTTTGTTTTTATTTGTGTTCATAACATAAACTTTGTATTTTTATGCGAGACAAAGAGTAGGGATGCAGGCAGGACACGCGACACGGAGGCAGGACCGGAGTCGGAGCTGGGGCAGGGCCAGCGACAACAACTGGAGAGACCAACTTGTTTGCGCTGGGAAATCAGTTAAGGACTTGGCGCACAGACTTGGCAGGACTTGAAATAATACACATACACGTACAAATGAATATATTCAACTTCTCTGTCCCCGTTAGCGCCTGGCACTTTTTTCTTTTGTTGTTGTTGTGCTTGTTTTAACACTTGAGTGGATTTTTGTGTTATTTTTGTACGAGTCCTGGGCGTTGATTTGGCCTGCCACGAGGGGGTCTCGAAAATGCCAGCGGAAACGGAAGCGGACGGACAAAGGACAGGACTCCTTCTCATTTATTATGCGCGCCACAAATCGAAATCAACGAGGCAACTTGATTAAGATTTAACTAAGCAAACAGACTCACATGCTAGACCCTTACACCTCCTTTTTTCCAATCCTATTTCTCTGGAATTACGTTTGCATTAGAATTTGAAATTGAAACACAGCTTACACGAGTCCTGAACGGGGAATGGGGGCAGACAAGTGTTATAAATTATGCAAAGTGTCAATGCACTTGCTGTTTCTCTAACCAAAATCGAATTAATATAAAGAGAAATAATTCAATATTAAACCATCGACTGCAATGCAACTTTATTCTACCCTATGGGTTGGGAGTTTTTTTTTTTTAATAATTGATTGAGTTTAACGAAGAGGATAATTACTTTTTTTCGTAATCGGGAATTGAAAGAACAGGAGTTGAGACGCTCACTTTTTTATTCAAATATTATTGGCACTTAAAAGATAATCACTGATTAGTAATAAGTTTTAAAACATAGTTGGAAGTATATTAAACGAATACAGCTTCCAAACACTCATGCTCTCTTGCTTTTACAAAACTGATACTCACAATATACCCAAAGGGTATAAAGGATAAAAAAAATATTAATTAAAGCCAAACCACAGGCAGCGAGCATACTACATGAAGTTTGCGGTTGCCGGTAATTAATAAAATGTACGAGTTCAAAAAACTAAAGAGACACAGGCCGGCCCATTCAATGGCCACTTTGGGGACCGATTCGGTTTTTATGGCCCGACATTAGCGTGAGCATTTTATATGAATTTGTGGGGGAATGGATTAATATGTTTTTTTTTTTGTATTTTTGTTCCTGGTAAATTGCATATTGTTGCAACTGGCAAACTGTCAACTGAACATCAATCTATTGGCGGCCGGAGGGCGTCAAATCCCCTGGTCGTTGTTAGAACGGGTCACGCTTTTTGTTCAGAAGCTTAACGAGCTCAACCCTCTCGGTCCGGGGTAAAAATAAAAAAAAACTGATGACGCAGACATAAAAGAGGGTTTCAAATGCTTTAAGCGCTGTTGCGTTTGAGCGCCGCTACCAAGACCCTTTCATGTCCACCAAAGGACGATGGGACACCCTCAGTGCAGGCGCTCCAAGGCACAGACAGCGGTCCAAACGGCCAAAAGGATGCACACTCACACACACACTCAGTGTGTGCCATTGTCCAGACAACGTTCAATTCATCTGAAAGGCAATATGGGTATGTTGCTTTAAATTGAAAATTAATTAAATTCGCCACACAAAGGGATTTATTGAGCTTTAAAATTATATAGATATGCTGGCTTATTGATTCGATTCTGGGGGAATGCAAATTATTCAAAGAATGAACAAATTTCATTTTTAATTTGAATACTAACGAAATTATGACACCCTTTTAATTAAGTTATTTAAAGTTTAAATTGAAAAAAATGCAAATTGTATTTGGTTTGTAAAATATTCAGTTCAAGGAGTTATAAAATAAATAATTCAAAATTTATACACTTTCGACACTTGATATTTCAAGTTTATGGAGAGAAACTTTGGCGCAGGAAAAGGTTCATAAATTCGGCCATAACTCTTTCCTTAAAGACCGAACCTGATATATGCGCCGCACAAAAACTCTTGATATAAGTTTGTTTCAACAGCGGAAATCATAAATTTCGCACACAAAAATCTCGATTAACTGCACGGCACAGTAAAAGTTGAAAACTTTGCCATTGGAAGCGGCATCTTCGGCGTCGCTGTTGTCCTTGTATTGTATTTTATATATAGACACATATATTTAAAAAAAAAAAGTTAAGAAAAAAGCAACATGTCAGCCTTGGATGTGTTTTAAAACGCTTGTCACAAAGTTTTCGCTGCCACCGCAGCTTTGAAAATGTGCACCGAAGTCACTGCAACCGCAAACTGCACTGAGAAGATAAGAAATACCTTCTACCTTCCATACATACTTCAATACGCGGCATAGAGCATATGCATACAGGGCATGTCAAAAGGCAAAAGCCATTAGACGTGTCTAAACATAAATCGCGCTGTGTTTGCATTCCCGGTGATCTGAAGGCAAATTGAAAAGTCATGTCAGCCATGCCAAAAATAGGAGAAATTCTACGAAGGATGTAAAAGTGGAGTACAAAATATGGACAGCGAATTGTCAACGCTTCACTGACTTTCAAATTGAACGGAGGCAAACAACAGGAATTTTACAAACCAATGCACTTGGCAGGATGGGAAAACAAAAAATGAAATAAAACAATTACGCGTTTAATATATTTTCATTTAGTCCAGCGAGCCAAGGATCTGGCAGGTCCTGGCGGACCAGAAAACAACGACCAGGCTACGGGGATGAGGGCCGTGGCAATGGTAAATGGTAAAAGGGAATGAGAATGCTCGTCCTTTGCTGTCTCATTTTTTACTTTTAATGAAGCGCAAGAATTTCTGTTGGATAATTTGTTAAGCGAACTTGGGCTGGCCGAAGGACGAGTGAGCTTGGGCTGCCTGAAAGCACAGAAAGGAGCCCAGAAAAAGGCAAAGAGCCAAACGGAGCCTGCAAAAACTTAGACAATGCAACAAGGACACTCACACACACAAGCATACACAAACTGAAAGTTGCGCTATAATTTGGCTTATTTCAGCCAGCAAATTTATAAAGTTGAGATGCAAAATGCTGCACCGGAAGTGCCCCAACTGCCCGGGATGGCAGAAACAGGAGCAGGACAGGACGAAGGACAGCGCAAGATAAATGACACGCAAAAGCCAAGTGGCAGATTTTCATTTTTAATTAAACCAACGGTCAACCGAAGTCTGCATTTACCATCTACCTTCTCCATAATGCATAGTAATAAACAATAATTAAAATGTTGCCCTGGATTCCAGGGAGTTGCCATTGCATCCCTCCAGGACTCACCTGTTGTAATGTTGTGCATGAAAATCTCACGCAATAGCAGCAGCTCGTCTTCCGGTGCGGCGGAAATTGCACCGAACACTTCGTTCTCCGGCCACACCTCCCTGCGGGATGCACAGATAAATGAAATATGAAAATAGATGAAATAAGAGTAAGTAATAATTAAAGGGAAGTCTAGGGTAGAGCGGACGTGATCAAGATGTGAAAATTAAATATCGACCAAAACATCCTTGTGTCCTTACAAAGTAATTAGAGACCACGAAGAATAATAATGTTTTGTTATAAAAATATCCATGAAAATAATCTAAAAATATCTGTGAAATAATCAAAAACAGGTCTGATCTGTCCTGAATTGTCAAAACAGTTGTGTAGTTTGTAATCAACAATAAACAGAGAATAAATTTTGATGGCTTAAAATAATTGTGAATTGTTTTTGCTTCGCCAGCAGTTTATCAGTCCATTTCAATTTACCAACAGAATTAAATTCCATGTAAATGCCATTTTTCATTTTGTTTTAATAGAAAAATAGCAGTCAGAAGCTAATAGTGGCAAAGATACAGACTAAATTGTTCGCAAATTCAGCAAGCATAACTTATACAAAAAGTCCATTGAAAATCAGAAACACCAAAGGATAAAAACAATGGCCAAAATAACGACCGACTAGCCACGTCATGTTGCAGGCGAAAAGCATGCAACAAGCAGGGCTTTTAGTTCTGGCCCTAAAAACTGAAATTGATGCGTTTAAAATTGCGTCAGGATACACAGCCCGGGCCGCCTGATCCTGACCAGCGTTTCGCATGTTGCAAGTTCCTTTCTCTCCTTTTCTGTGCCCCACACAGTACTATACACAGTAATCCCCACCGTTCAGATGATGCAAGCAACGGTTGCAATGGTTGCAGGCCTTTCGCAACGATGGCGTTGTTAATTTAATATTTGAAAGCAGCTTAATATGCAGTGCACAGCAAAAACATAACGAGAAAGATATGGAGCTCAAAAAAACCAGGGCGAGAATGGGGTGTTTCGGCTCTAATTTCACTAGACAACAAAGTTTTCATTTAATTCATTTTTAAGGATGTTTCTGATTTGACTTTTAATTGGTTTTCACTTTAAAGGCTTTAACAAAATATATAAGGTTTATTATCCGACAATTTGGAATACAGGTCGTATGAGTAATTTTTATTTTTTGTACACTATTACCATGACTGTTGCTCTGTGGCGTTTGAAAACAGAGTATTCTCTTGTTGGCCATATCAGTTGCCTACAGGCACCACCCAGAACCTGTGGCAGGACAAGAAAATAGTAGAAGGTGCAAGACCCTCTAAGCGAAATATTTATGCTCATTTGTGACGGTGCCAGTAGGCGATAGTGCAACTTATGTTTCTCGCTGTCGCCCAGCCAATAAATTGACTCCCAGACCCCAACACGACACCATTACGAAAAATTATTCGAATATTGTCCTACAGCAGGGATTGTAATCCTGCGGGTCGTTTTTATTTTTGGGTTGAGGGAGCTCGTTAGTTACCGCCGGCAAACAGGAAACAACAATGTGCCGCCAACTTTGGTGGGCGGCGGTCCGAATTTTCGGTTTGTGTCAACATTTGCGTGTGCTCATTTAAAAGTGGTGCAAGTACAGCGTTGTCCAGCGGCGAAGCTGCGGCCTGACGATAATTAGCGGTTTTTGCATGGTCGTATCCCGGTCAGGAACGAATATTGGTTAATTATAAACCATGAAAATCTATGAAACATCGGATGGGTGGATTGGGTATCCTGGGCTGGGCTGGATTTTGGCTTTTAAGTTAAATTATGTTTAATATTGTTGTGCCGCTTGGTGAACAGATAAACTATTTATTTCGCGACAGCAAAAAAAATAAAATAGAAAGACCAAGGCTAACACAATTTATAATCACATTGAGTGATACCAGATTAATTTCAAAACGATCTGCTGGGCAATCTGTTCCAAAATGTAGGTCAAGCCGTATTTAAGTTTTTCGATTAGTTTTCAGTTTTAATTTATGATAAAACCAGGATTATGGTTTTCTTTTTCATTATATATACATATTTAAGATATATTATGTGCTTCAACTGCTGCACTAATGAACGTTTGTTGAATTTGGCTCTAGAGCTGAAATTGCTAAATATTTCCAGTCAACAAAATCAACAAGGGATGTGCAAAGGCAAAGAAAAGGCAGAAGCTTCCGACTTTTCTGTTGCTATGCTAAATAAGCGCATCAGCAGACGCTTAAATAAGCTTAGTTAAAAGGCGGGCGAAGTGGGCGTGGCTACAGCCCAGAGCCAGGCGGGGGTAAGCGGGATGAAAGTTGCAGCCAAAGTGAAGTTTGAATAAACATTTTGCGCATTTACTTCACTTAAAAGTTTGTTTTTTTCCGAGCTGATATTTCTGTGCACCCATTAAGCCAGCTTCGGGAAAAAAGTAGAATAAAGTGGTAGTGGTAAGCGGGAAAGCTCAGAAACGCTTCTCACACTGAATGAAACTTAAAAAGCCCTAATAGTGTGACTTGGCAAGTATTTAAAAATTCCGAGCAGACTCATCACCCACAACGCACTTACATCCAGACACATGTGTACATGAAAATGTCGCTGCCACAAAATTCGGATTATTTTCAAAATTCTGTTTACCCAAAAATGTTCTCAATGGCAGCCAAAAAAGGGAGAAGTAGGAGCATAGATACAAAGATATACTGTCCCTACAAATACTCTCATGTTATACTTATTAATTATTAATGATAACCTTGGCTAGAAGCTTTAACCTTAACAAAAACCTAAATAGTTTTGAAGATTCCCCTAATATTTTTTTATCTAAATAAGGAGTTTAAAAAGGCTTTAATTGAATGAATAAAAAAGCCAAAAATAAAAGCAGTCCCAAACATCCTTTAATACAGTATGAAAAATAAAGTAAGTGTAACAAAATCCTTCGGGGCAGAAACTGTGTGGCAACTGGGCACAAAAACTCCCAGACAATAGCCAGACAAAAGAGTGAGTGTCAAGGGGCGTGGTCGTGGGCGGTAGGTGGCAACTTCAGAGGGTGTTGCAGCAAGCCTTAGTGCTGCTCTATATGCATATCGCATTTTAATTTATTAGCAGAAAAAGCGTCTAGAGTCTAGACCTTTTTAAGCTGCCACTGCAGCAGCCAGCCAAGTGGCAGGCAAAAATTGTATACAATTTTCGTTTCCAACAATTAAAATGTACATAAATTTCAACCAAGTTTGACAATTGAAACTGCATGTTCATCTCAAAAGCAACACTTTTAGCTACTTTAACTCAGAATTTAATGATATTGAAGCCATCCCTCCCTGATACCTTCAACTGAATCCTTTCAAAGGAAAATTTCTTGGGATCAGAACCGGAGCCAACAGTACCAGGTGGAAAATTTTAATGAGGTTGTAATTAAATGACTTGGAAATATTTAAGCCATGCTTTCGATTGCCAGCCTTTGACATGATGCGACATCTGCCAACAACGCTGCTGGTTCTGGTGTCCTGGGGAATTGGTGTCCTGTGGAAATGGTGTCCAATGGTGGGTGTTGGCCAACAATTTAAATGTTGACGCGCAAAAGATAAATTATTTTCACGCAATTTTCCCGAGCAAACAATAAACATTTCTTGAGCGCGTCTTCAATGGGCTTTACATAATTGAGCGGGCAATTAAATTGAAAGGCAGACACATCCCGAATCCACTGGAGCGAAGCAGCAGCAACCTTCTCACCTGGCCAACCTGGCCAGTATGTCTGTGTGGTTTGTTGACTGAAAAATTGCAGGACGACAGGGACAAAAACCAGGCACCGAGAAATTGTCTGAATTGCACCGGACCACCAACTCTTCTTATTATCTGGCCAAAAAGGAGAGCAAGGACATGCCGTGGCATTCCTGGGCCACTGCCCATTATCTGTAGTTACCGGAGCGCCTGGGCAGCATCGTGCCCTGCCTTAACAATAAATAAAAACTATTTAATTTAAGGGCAGCCAGGGGAGGAAAAATATGAAAAAAATAAACAAGCAAAAAAAAATTAAACTCGGTAAATGCCAGAAAAGTCGCACAAAAGGACCCCGAATGGGATTCCTTGGCTGTGAGCACAGTTAATTTATTATGCGAATTGCTTTTGCTACCCCAGTCAATGTCAAGTTATTAAAAGTGGGGTTTTGAAAGGGGTGGCGCGTCTGCTGCCTTAACAACGCACTTCGAACTTCCCAGTTCAGGGTTCATGGGATCAGGGGGTTAAGGAGTCTCAGCCACAATGGCAACCAGAAGTCAACTCACCTGGCAGCTCGTAGAAGGGCGACGGCCTGGTCCAGTTTCTCAGAACGAAGCAGCTTATTTATGCGAATCATGCAATCCTCGCTGGAAGTAGAATAAAGCCAAGAAACATAATGGAATCACGTTGCACAATTGAAAATCGAACTGAATGCAGGTTAATAGCGTGTTGCTGAGGTCAAAGGATATTGTAGAGGTAGAGTTTGAATTCCTAACCAACTTACCGCTGATCATCGATGGATTTCTCCGAAGCCGCATCAAATGGCACCGGCAACTCGTCCTCCGGTATTTCCAGTTCTGCGGCCAAAAGGGCACACACTTCCGTCGCCAGCTCGGCCCATTTGCTAGACAATTCTTCCTGCAATTATGCAGCAATAAATAATTTATTAATTGCAATTGTTTGCAAATGGATAATCACAAAGGAAAATTAGTCATAACGCAAATACGCGTGAGCTATAAAATTAATTATACGCAATTGTAATTATAATCGAATACCTAATATTACTTGTCATTTGCCGTTTGGAAAGGACAACCAAATTGAAACAAACTTCAAAAAAAGTTAACATTAAATAAAACAACCGCAGTGGTCATTAAAATGCAATGAATGGAGTTTCAAAAAATCAAAACCACATATTTGCCTTCAAGCTCATTGATTTTCATTTTCGAGTGTCAATATTATATTTATCCTAAAATTAATTCAAAGGCGATAAAGCTTGCATTTTTAATGAACGGGAGCCTTGGTATTTGAATTCATTTAAAAAATACAACTGCAGAGCATTCCATTGCCTGAATTTGCCGATTTTCCGATTTCTGATTATTTTTTGTTTGCACAAAAAAGATAAAAATTGAAGCCATTGTTTTCAGATTTTTTTCCCTATCAGACCTGTTTACAATGAATGTGAATTGAACATCAATGAACCGGTCCTTCTAACTACAAGGACATGACATATGGCCGGTATTTTCATTTAATTAAATGGAAATGTAACAAGCTTCGGAACTTGATGATTTCCAAAGTATATTGTGTTAAAAATTGTTTTGTGCTTCAGAACAAAGAAGTTTTCATTTTATTTTTAAATAATTTAAAAATGCAACATAAAAACAATGAAAATGCCAAGTAATCTGAAGTCGTTTCCCTTGAAATTATTTTTTTGTGAACTTTCCTTTACATTGTACACGATTTTATTCATTTAATTTATCGCTCGTTTAACTTTTGCTTGTTGGTAAAAAAGAAACATGCAAATATTTGCGGCTGTGTGTTTTTGTCATGTTTTTCGCTTCGCGGAATTGACAAATATTTATAAATTAATTGTTGAAAAATTGATGCACGGAATACGCGTGCGAAATCGTGAAACAATGGCAACACAGCTGCTTGGCCACAACTACACAAATAAATATGTCAAAAATTAACACAATTGAAGGTAGCCCGAGAAAATAAAAGAACCGTTTTCATGTCGGCACCAGTATCCTTTTAAATCCCGATGTACTACCATTCAAAATAGAATAATAAAAAGCATGCACCAAAGGTACCAAAACGTCGGCCGCAAAAATGCACAGAAAAATGTTTTCGCAGGTTGGTGGTGCACACAGTTGCGGCAAACGGAATCCTGCAACTCCAGGACCGGAGTCCACTGGCCCAGTGGCCGGAAATCACGCTCAACGGTGCGTCCTGTCCCAACGCGACAAAGTGTGTAAAAACAAAAGAAGGCTACCAGTAGAAAAAACAATAGAAGTCCAGCAATGCGAACAGAAAATGCCCTAAAAAGTTTGCATGCTAAAAAAATGTACTAGAAAGTGGAATAAAAGAATTTATTTTTCCCACAAACATAATTGTGAATTTTCTTTCGTAAACAATTAAATAAGAAGCTTTTCTAAACTAAAATTTTAAACCCAAAAATATTTGTAGAAAACACAATAAGGGAAGTTAAATATTATTTGAATAAAAACCTTAATATATACCGACTGAGAAAATCTGCCAAGTCTTTTGAAAAAGGTTATCCTGCCGGAAAACAACAGAATTCTTGTGTTTTTTTGGAAGTGTGCGTGTGTTAAGGTCACATGCAATAGTGCACTACGAAAATAATACGTACACGATGTAGAAAATACACAAATAACGAAAAGCCACCCGTCGTAAAAATTGAATAAAATGGCAAAACGATGCTGGCCCAAGTCTGGACATTTTTTTTCTTCCATATTTTCAGTCAATTAAATTTCACGATCAGGCCCATAAATCTTTAACGGTCAGGCCATAGACGACAATTGTTTATGCCGAGCTCTATGTGTCTTTTTTTTCGTCGCTTTTGTTTGCAATCGTTTTAAATTTTTATTGGCAATTTAGGGTATATTTTATGGCCGTCACAGCGGGTGCTGACCAAAAAGCTAGCAAAATAAAGTTATTTAATGTGGCAATTTATTTTTAAAACATTAAACCAAGCACATGTATATATAAAAAATAAATGTTTTAATTTGACGTCACTTACCTCGGTGGGCTGTGGAATTGCCGGAGGTTTCGACTTGGCCGAGGACTGCTTCTTCCGGCGCCCACTGCCCCCGCCGCGTCGCTTGTCCTGGACCACCACGGAGTCCTGGCAGAAGCGCTCCATCATTTTAATGAAAACATTCGCCGTTTCCACCACATCGCGCAGAAAAACCCTGTGGGAGGAGCACAGAGGTTAGTTAACGAAATGAAAATACACATATTGTAATTAAATTCTTTATTATTTGTGTGCCTCGCATCAAAATTGAATTTGTTGTTGAACGTTGTTCCATATATCTATATGAAAAATGCATGCCACATGCTCAAAATTCAATTAAATGTGGCAAATGCATAATTTTTTTCCCCCGTTTGTTGTCCTTCTGCTCAGCGAATGCAATTTATGGAAAATATTGATGTTTATTCCACACATCCGTAATAATTAACACGACTGCCGGTGATCGGCTCAAATTTTAAAACAACAATGACAAAATGTCATATTCAAATGTCTGTTATAACAATAGAATTTTTGTTAAAAGGAATTGTAGATGAAAAGTGTTTATGCTCAGTCGCATCTGCAGTAATTAACATTTCTGATTTGGCAATATAACTCCACTGCCTTTGACACATTTTTAAATAACGAAAATGAAATAAATGTATCCATCTATTTTTACCAAAAATTGAAATTGAATAAATCAAAGCCAAGTCTTAATAGGTTCTCTGACAGACCCAAAATATTTATTGAATATCATCGAGTACATTAAAAGCTTTGAAAGTCCTGACTCAAAATTCCCACTTCCACCGCCATCATGACTGACTAGTTAGTCAACCCAACTCGATCCGGGCTGACTGATGATACAGCCTCTCCTCGCCCCCTGTGTGGCCGCTGTCGAAGCCGATGACGCCTCCAATTAGCAAATTACCCCAAAATGGCAAAAGGCAACGGAACTGCCTGCCAACACAAGCCAACAAAAAAAAAATTGAGAACAAAAAAGGGAAATACGAAAAACGAGGCGGAAGACAGCCGCCAAGCTGCCAAAATCAGCTGCCGCTGTTCAGGGCTAACTTCCGCTTTGTTTTTAGCCAACCCGAAAATAAAAGCCAACGTCATTGGGTTCGTCAATTTGTTAAAATGATTGATTGCCGTTTAAATAATGAAAATAGCGCGAGTCACCGACAAGGGACAATGCAAAATCAGGCGAATATGCAAAGTAGACGGACGATTGATACGCTTAATACTAAACAAAAAATTAAAAGAAAGAAACGCTCTACAAAACCAGATATCAGAACTATAAAAATAATACAAACATTTGAAATATACTCGTTCGCTTGGCATTCAAATTGACTGTCTCCCCGGGTTCATAAAAATCGTTGCGTTGGCGACGAAAAATGTCCAATAACCGAAAAGGTCCACTGGTTGACACTTGCCGATGACGCCGCCTTTCAAATTTATGCAAATTCATTGCGAATTTTAATGTCCCTTGCATGAGAGTCGCGGGCAGGAGTAGCGAAAATTCCATCCTCGACATTTTCGAATGCGGTCAATGTGCCACAACGCACCAAAGGGGCCGCCAAATGGTACGCATCTGTTGAGGTGATCCTCGGAGCCAGCGACCCAGCCGGGGGAAATGAATTTGTAATGAAAGTGGTTATCCGGCATTCAGGACCCTGGCGGATGGGAATCGATTCAGTGGGCGCATAGACTGTTAGCCAAATTAAACAGACAAATAATTCAAAAGCGTTGCCGCTCAAACAACCAACCAAAAAGCAAAGGCTTGTTCCAACAATGCCGCTAGTAAACAGCGTAGATATGGCCTTTTGATGCAGTTGGCTTTTTAATGGATTTCCCGAAATTAGAACGACACGATAATGCCATTATTTGGAATAGATAGAGAATAGGACAATAGTTCTTGTTCCGGAACATTCAGCTTTAAAAACAAAATGTATTTTTATTGAAAAGAAGAGACTTCTTAGAGTTCCTCACAGCTAACAGAGATATAATCCTTTTTAATGGGATATCCAATTAACTAAATTCTTATAGCCGAACCGAGATGAAAAGTCCCCATGAACCCATTATTAGATGTCCGTTAGCATCCGCCAGCCAATTTGAAGATATTTGGCCATTTGTTTTGATCAAGAACTGTCGGCGGTGACCACAACTGACAGGAGCACAAGTGAGTGGGTTGGGTGGCAGTGCCACACCCGGTGGCGAATTGATGATAAAAGGACACAGGAGTTGGGCAAGGCAAGGCGCAGTCGATTTGAAATTCGAGTGGGTGGCTGTGGCGTTTGATGATAACTGGAAATGCGAAATGAATCAAGAACAGCTATGTGTGTTGGACGATATGTCGACATTACCGCAAAGATGTCTGTGGTGTGGTGGTGCGATGGCGGCATTAACAGCAGCCGAAGCGTAAAAACTGCTGGTACCTGTGGTAGCTTCTGGTGGATGGCGGATAGTCCGCAGCCCGGCTGCAGATGCTGATGATGGTGGTGGCACCTGACCACAACGCCAAGAAACCACAGCGGCAAAACGGTTGGGTCGTTGGATGGTTGGATGGTTGGATGGCTGGATGGCTGGGTGTAAGCTTGCACAACATATTGCATTCCACAAACCATTTTGCAAGCGAATTCAAATCGATTTGCCAGCCAAACCCTGGCTTGTCCTAATGATGCGCAGGTGCAAATCGTGTAACGCCCACTCCTGCAACTGTCCACAGTAAGAAACTAGAGGTTCCTTCATTAACTGCTCGTCATAGGGTTTAAATCTTCGCACTGGGCCTTAAGTGGGATTTAAAAACTTCTAACCCGTCTTCACATCTAAGGTGAAGGCTAATTCGAGGGGAAGCTCTATGGACACGGTCGTGCAAATTGACGGGCTTGGAAAATACCAAGGCCTGGATCGTTAACAAAATGGGTTGCTGTCGACATGGAGGTTCTCGAAACCACCGAAAAGTTCCGGCAGATCTTTTGTGGCTGCGGAAGCAACAGAAATATTGAACAAAAGAAGAAATTTATATATATTATATATATTATATATGCATTTCTATTTTTTATTCTTACAAATTTCAACTAAAAGCCCTCTTAATTTTCTCACTGCACATATACCTAATCTCAAGCATATGTGACCAGAAGGTGCCTGGGAGCAGGACAAAGATAAATCGTTAATAAATTATTTATAATTAATTTGTATGCACGCGGTTTTGTAAGTTCTTGTTGTTGTTGTTTTTATTGTAGCTGTTGTTGGCCAACTGTTGGCTGGCAGAAACTGATTTGATATTCGCGTTTACGCTGATTAAATGGACGCAAACAGCCACCAGCCACAATCCACCGAGACTGTAGGATGGAAGGACGAAGAAGTTGAAGTAGCGACAGCAGCAGGTTGAGCATACAGAATTAATTAGAACACTTGGGTGTTCTTGGGGTTGGTCAGCGGTTTTCTGGGACTCTAATGGTACGGGGTTTAATGTTTTTTGGGTGGGGAACGAGGGCTCTGCCGATGGAAGATTGTCTTCGCGTCGGGTCGGGTCGGAGCGCATGTTGAATAAATGATAAAATGTAATTGCGCCCAGACAGCGACGAACTGACAGACCGACAGACTGACTGACCGACCGACCTGCGGGGATTGTTGTTGTTGGGGTATAAGGCGTTTATAATGAAAATATTATTAATTATGACAGCTGCAACAACAATGAGTGATGGGCCTCCATTGCCGGCTGCTAGCCGCCTAAAATGGGTGGGAATATAAAATAATCCGGAACGTTAAGTGGCCCAACCATTGGCAATGCCATAAATTATTCATCTTGACACCGAAAAATCTTTAATCTGTCGGCCACTCAAACACTGATTGCAGTTCAAAAGGCAACACAGCATTTACATAATTGTCAATTGGCCTGCTTAATTGAAAGCTCTTCAATTCTCTGATGATGACACAACTTAATGTTTAATCGATATTAAACTTTAAGCCCACTATTTTCAGTTCGGTCCACATTAATCATGCTCCAATTAAGCAACAGTTGCTGCACCAGCGAAATAGCACATCTGCAGATACACGCGAGTATCTGTATCTATACAGCTGTATCTGCAAACGCGACGAGTTTCCTGATTCCAAGCACCATACACCCATCCACCCACCATCCTGTGGAGGTCGCCAAGCTCTGTCAATTTCATGTTTGCGCGCTAAATTAATTTAGTCAAAGCTTTCAAATTGCTACTGCCCCACCTAACAGACTCTCGATTCTGGCAACCAGAGCCCGCCCAACCGACCGACTGCCTGATGTGATGCGTTGATAGTTGCCAGTTGCACAACAAACTATTTATCTGTCAGTGTGTCATCAGAAACAGTGGAGTATAATTCATACTGAGAAAGCGATTTTCAAAAACATTTATTTATTGAATCAATGGCATGAAATTTCTTCACAAAAGTAGTCAGGACAATAGCGTATACATCCATAAAACAAAAGAATTTTAAACAAAATTCTAAGCCTTTAAGCCATACACATGTTATACCATACAAGAGCCACCTTTCTAAAATAATAAACATGCCTTGAATTGTTTAAACTTTAAAGCATTGCTAATATTGAGTTTAAACTACTTAAAGAGTTTCATCGACCCATCGTATCCTACTGCAAATGTCATCCGAGTCGGTGACATAGAAATAAATTTACCCATTTATTGGAGGTATATCGCTCAGCACGCAGCACTCGCTGTCAAACAGACGTTTGACGGGCGAATTTGTTCAGCCATTTAGAAATATTCAAGTGAGTCTAACTCTTCATGTTCGGCACTAAAAAAAAAACCTGCAATTATCTAAATGGATTGCGCAGAGCCACGCAGGAGAGTGCGGCTGAGCTTGCCTTTTCAGAATCTGAAAGGATTCTGACGCCGGATGATGCCTATCCAATTGATGGAAATAAGCAGGTGCATGCAAGGTGTTGGGGGTCAAGTCAATGAACCCAATCTCTCCAACCTAAATCAGGGTAATGGGTTTAAAACACTCGAGCTGCACACCTGCGAGTGATTCCATCCGAGCAGCACTCAATATCTAAAGCTCTGCAGCCATTTATCAGGTACCAGCAGAGTCTGTGAAACCCTGCATCTGAAATAATCTTTATTCAGCTCTGAAGATGGGTAAGTACTGGTAAGTCGGCAATTAGGATGCATCTGAGGTGGCAAGGTTTTTACAAAAAAAAATAATAAAAAAAAAACATACTCAAAGCAGCATGCTGCTTTCCAGTAAGTGGCATAATTTTTATGCCAGAGCACGCATGCAACACAAGCTTTTAAAATCAATTAAAGTCTTAGCTAGAAACTCTGCCAGTCCCCTTGCCACGACCCGCAAGTGTGCAACTAGTTCATTTTACGTTGCCTGCTTTTGGGGGACTTGCCACTCGTAGCCTTAAGGAACCTAGTGTTGGTGCAACACCATACTTGCCAAGTATTTACATTCTAATTTACATTTTTTAAATACTTCTTAAGAATTTATAGAATATTAAGTCTTATAAAGGTTAATGAAATACATTTTGAATCCAAAGCTAGGTAGTTTTGAAAGGACATCTCTGATAGGGCATATCCTGGGAGAGTCCTGGGCAAATAGCCGAACAAACAGACCAGAACTCAAGACAAAGGCATGCCGCCAAAACAAACAGAGCCTGATTGTTGGGGCGAAAGGCACTGAAGGACTGACGAGACTGGGAAGTCCTGGCACTGCATATTTCGCTGGGGCAGTAGGAACTGGTGGTAATCCCATTAAAGGATGTGTATTTGGCTTGCTTATTTGCGGATGCCACGGGGTCGCCACTCGCCGCTCTCGTCCTCCATCCTTTATACGTTAGCTATCAGAAATGCAGTTGGGTGCGGATTCCGTTTCAAATAGGATAATGGGATTGGAATAGGTGTGCGTGAGCGTGTGGGTTTGTGGCATGGCCGAAGGGGCAAGTTATTTCCAATCGGAATTTGGGTGCGTAGCTCTTCCGTCCTCCCTGCCCCGAAACATTATACTCACTTTGTGCTGTGCGCCTCATTGTAGTTCATTAACAAATGCAGCACCGTCTCTCGATACTCCAGGACATAGCACACGTTGTTCAGCAACATATCGAAGAGGGCTCGTGCGTTGCTGTCATCCTTTAGCTTTTGCAGTGCCAGCAGGCTCTGGAGCAATTCCCGGAATGTCTTTAATTAAAAAAATATAATAAAATTGGTAAGCATTAACTTGACAGACACTCGAGTGTTGATTGAAAGGATCGCAGGCCGGGGCATGGTGTGAGTTGCATTGTAATGAGCGATGACTGAGGAATGGGACTTATCACATGCTTGTAATTGCATACATATACATATAGTTAGTATTCTCGATGGCCTGTGGTTGGTCAGAATGGCTTTGGTGCCGAAGGAGTTGATTGGACTTGGCTGGAGTTACTCTTTGTCAAATGGTAATGAAGGTGTCTAAAATAATCATGGGATGTGGCCTAAATGCTTAGCATCAATAATTTATTAGAATTAAATGATGAAAGGAGTCTTTTACTGAATACCATGATAGCAGTTCGAAATCTCGTCATCCTTAATCCATTTTAATTTTTTCCTTTCCAATCAAAGAACTGAATGTGCCACGCATTTTGAACTAATCCCCATAAAACCGAGATGTGCACTTTCTGGCAGCTTTAAGGATCTGCGTAGGGGCGCCCGGCATCAAGCTTAATCCAAGGCTAACGGCGAACAGCAGCGGCGGCCCCGAAAGTGCACTTATAGTGCCAAAGCAAACAACAACAGACCCGCTGCACACTCTTCAATCACACACACACCCTGGCAAGGGCTTAGATGGCCGTAAGGCGGGGCCGGATCGGGATAAAGGTTGCGAAAAGAACTGGCAATGGAAGTGCCAGTGGCGCGAGCACGGGCACGGGCACTGCAACTGGAGTGACTTACCAAAAGAGCAACATGCAGTCGCTTGGCCCAGAGACGCGCCTGTTTCTTGTCGCTCACAATCATGTCCATGTCATGTTGCATGCGCGTCAGGACCCAGTGGAAGCATTGTACGCTTAACGATTCGCTGCGAATGAAATGGAAAAGCCAAAAAGGATACGTTAATTTTGAATGCAGTGGAAAAAAAAATAAAGATAATTTGGTATAAATAAAATAAATATAACTCAAAGTTCATGCTTATAATAATGTGCTAATATTTAAATGGTACCCTAGATATTAATCCGTCTTTTTCCCTGTGTATCTCCATTTCTCAAAGTGCCTTGATCACCCAAATTCTTTATGTCTGCTTGCATATTTATATAGAAGAATGGTGTGCATTAAAGTTGGCCAAAACTTGGCAGAAAGGAACTGCAAAACAGGTAAGCAGCTTGTAGCTTGCATTTCCCGCTCGACCCCCGTCATCCACAACGGCTGCCACTCGCAACTGGCAGAGCGAAAAACTCATTAACGAAATTAATTTTTAAGTAGCGCTAGAATTGAGCGGCAGCCAGCCTAAGTTTCATGTTGGGTTGGGTGGGGCGTTGACATGCCGCCCACTTGCCACACACCAGCAACCCATCCACTTGCCACCGGAAGTTGTCGTGGCTGCAGCATTGCGCCTGCAACTTGGCTAAATTAGCAGCACGACGTCGGCTGCGGCGACCATTAAAGTTTGCGACAACGTCAAGAGCATTTGAAGAGGCATTAAAAACAAATTAATTACAGATGTGCGGCATCAGCGGCAGAAGCAATAAGACTCCAAATAAATAAATTATAAAATCAATAAATGTGCAAAGTATAATAGCGGAAAGTGGTTATGTTCCCCTTTCAAATGAGAAGTTTTAACAAATGTTATTCTACAAATACCTGATCATTCCGAGACATAAATAATTGATTTCGGTATCAATGCTTGTACGTGCACTTGCTTATAAAAAAATATACAAACTCGATTTCACTTTTTGGTGGAAAAGGGCTTGGGTAAAAGTTTGCCCATCTGAAGGCCCATACATTACAGCAATGCCATGCTTTATATAGTGCAAAATCAGTAGAAAATGGCAGACAATAAAGAAAGTTCGGGGCGGTTGGGGGGCATGGCGTCAAATTGCATTTGAGGAAATAAACAGAAAGTTTTATGGTTGGCAAGTATATAGACTCGTATATATGTATAAGAGAACCGAATGAAAGAAAATGAGACAAAAAGGTATGATAAAAGGCAGAGGGACATTGCTGAAAATGAAAAACAGGAGCTGTAGGAGCTAAAGGAGCTGCAGGAGAGCAGTCAAGCGGGGCAGAAACTTAGAATAGTGCGAGGGTGGCCCTCCACTTCCGGAATAGGGAAAAGTAGCCAGGACCAGGAGGAGAAGAGGTCTGGCAAAACTTTGCGCCAACGGAATGACAACATTTTTGCAAAGCTTCATTGTTGTCATTCAGAAACTAATTTGAAAGTAACCAAAACAATTTTAAAGAAATTTCCCACCACACAGCCAGCAAGGGGGGGGGGGGCGGAAGGGAGGAAGGTCCTGCTGAAAGGGGAAGTGGATGCTGGGCAAGGAGCAAGGAGCAACGTCAGCCGGATGACAGCATAAAGAACGCAAAATTTTATTAACAGCATGCTGGACAAGAATGAAAACAACAAGTCAACAGAAATGCCATTGAGCAAAAATTCCAACACTTACCAAAAAAAATTATATTATTTAAGAGATATTTTTAAATTAGCTTTAGACTTAATTCTTGGGATATTTTTATAGAAAAATATATAGACTTGAAGAATATATCTCAAAATATTTTATAAATCCTTTAAAAATAAAGTTCAGTGCAAGAAATTCGCGAGGGCAGCTTCACTTGCTTTACTTTGGCATCTTTGGCGTCGACTGGGGTCAAGAATATCTGGGAGTACGTTTCGCAGCCCAAAGTGACCCTGGACTGGCCTGCAGTTGTTGTTGCAAAGTGGCAAAGTGCCCTGGGTCAACAATTGGCGTCATGACTTTGATTTGTGCATGTGTTTGTTGCCGCCCCCACCAGCCCCCCGTCCCACCCAAAAACTCGTGCAATAAAAAGTCAGTGACGAAGCGTCGATGGCGGACAACCAGGACAGCCCGGGTCCAGGACAGCCCGGGTCCAGGACAACCGGGCGGGCAATGACATACAAATTGTGTTGTGACCACAGAGGCGTCCAGAGTGGTAAAAATTCTAAAAGCTGGTAGGGGACCCGAGATGCTAGCGAAACGTTTCACATTTTGTGTTGACATACTGCTTGACCATTTTGCGGACTGGAGCTAAAGGCAAAAGTGCTGCTGCCAATGGTAATTGTCCTGTTGCGAAACTTTATTTGCAGCGCACTTTTCCCTGCTGCGATAAAAAAATAAATAAAAAAGAAAACCATTCGACGGAAACCACTGGAAAACCTCATTTAAGCGGCCCTTGGTTTTCTCACTTCAACAGCTCAGATGATGGATTGCCCTTTCGACAGATAAAAAATAAAGTATTCTGGCGAAAAAATTTCAAGAAAATCAATTTTAAGCTTATCGAGTACATTTGAGGAGAACTATACTGTTTGGAATTCTTTAAATTCTTTTCAACTCTTGAATAAATGAATCATCATCGAAAAACAAAACTTTTTAGTTTCCAAAACAAGTTTAATTTGTATCCTTAATAGTTTTATTTTCTTGCAGTTCGCTTAAAGCTAACAAGTTTTTAAATTTCAATACCAGTTTATTTGGCCTTTGTTGGCAAATATGTTCGGAGTGAGAGTGGCCACCGAAATAAAAGTTTTTCAGAATTTCTTTCATTCGAAGAGTGTGGCAAAGTAATTTGATTAAAAGCCTCGATGGAGGAGGCTCGAGAGGACAGCTTGTGCGCACCGTATTTGCATAACTGCTGACTTGCTCGGTGGCTGGAGGTCAGCGTTTCATTAGCCACCGAAAGACAAGCTCCTCCATCAGCAGCATCATCGTTCTATCACTACTAAGAGCTTCTTCTATCTCCATTCGATGGTATAGGCAATTAATTGAACACTTTGCCCAACCACATCGCATATCTGGGGCAAGTCAAGCAGTTCCAGCAAAAATCACATTAAACTTGGCATTCGGAAGTGTAGTTTGGGTGATAGTGATGAGCAGGTTTTAAGGTCATAGCTACTATGTCATTCTAGAAGTTCTATTAATGGGTTATATGTAATTAAAATTAAACTTCAAAGTATCTCTGTAATTTCTTTAAAAAAAATATATAAATATCAGCATCACTATCGAGAATATAAACGACTGGCACTCACCTTACTAACTGCAATTGTAGTCCACTCAAACGGTTGAACTCCATGAAAAATCGTATGGCCCACAGGAGATAGGAGTCATCGTGACTCGACGAGCCGGCGTTGCGTTCCAGGACACGACGCACCTGCCGCACCAGCGTGTTGTAAGCGGAGCGCAGGACCTCAATGCAGTACTCGCGCAGGCACAACCTGAAAAAGCCAACAGACAGGATGGGGGAAAACATTGTGAGAAAAATCTGAAAGCCGGATGGATTGAGGAGGGCAGAGTGAAAAGTGGAGAGACATGAAAAATGGTTATACCACAATAATATTGATTGAAAGCGAACGCCCTCTATCAGTTTATATAACAAATGCGGAAGTTGCAGCGGCATTTGGCAGCGCTGATGCAATAAATTTCGCCTGGCCAATTTATTTGTGCAACGCTGGCTAAAAGAAGCAACCAGCCAACCATCCCACCAACCAACCAACTAACCAAGGCCCAATTCCACCCACAATTCAACCGAGCGGAGAGCAATCTCTGCCAGAAACGCATCGATGCCGACGCGGTTTAATTTATGCCCAAAAGGGGGCAGACGCATGAAAAAAAATGGCATCTCTCTTGGCGGCTTATTGTAACATGCACTTGTGGTTGCCTAACAAATTGTTGTGTTTCTGTGCCCCCTTCTGGAGCACGAGGTTCGGATCGAGTCGGTCAGGATTCCTACATACGTGACATTGATGAACTTTCGCTGCCTACGTGCCCGGACTTGTGTCTTTTGGGCACCAGTTTGTGGTTGCCTTTGTTGGCCAAAAGCAAAGGCCAAACGGCTAAAACCCGACCCGCTTTTGGATGGGACATTTGGAGTTGTCTAATCGCAGGCACATTTGTTCTGCTCTATCAATTTATGGGCGCCAGAAGATTTGCTCCCGGCGTCCACAGGGTGAGCATCTTCCCCATAAACCAGGCCAACTAAGGCCTGGCTAACAAGCAAAAATGTTGCCCGGCCAGGGCAGGTTGGCAGGCAACCATTGAAATCGCAGCAGCAGCAGCAGCACCAGCAGCGGCAAAATGGGAAAAACCTTTTGAGGATTTTACTTGAAAATTGCACGGCTCAGTGGCCAGAGATTCCAAAGTCGATGCCGATGGCAATGGCGATGCAGAAAATGCCGATGCCAATGGCGCCGCCAAGTTGCTGCTGCAGTTTTATCTCAGCTTGGGTTTTTATGCCCCGGACCACAAATTGAAGAAAAGTTTGAAACTTTTTCGGCGAAGTTTAAATGCTCTCAAGAAAAGGCATAGTATTTATCTAAATTATTAATCAAAACAAGCATAAAATTTTAATTACAAAATAAATCACTCAAAGCTGAATTATATAAAACATTTAAAATAAACAACAAATAAAAGACCAGCTTTATCATCATAGATCTTAGTTCCCAAGCCTTTTAATATAATTTTTGAATAGAATCCAGAGAAAAGAGTATACTTTTTAGTTATCAAAACGACAAACAGGACTCTGGCCATAGCATTAACTGTAACTATTGAAGCCAGCCCCGATAGAAGTGTGCCTGTGGCGGGAAAGGCGGAGAGATCCTTTAAGTAGTTTGTTGGTTAGCAGAGAAGCATAAAATAGCTGCACCTGGTGGCCATTAGGTGGTGCGGCAGCCGAGGTGGCCGGCGCCAAGATATTGTTTAGCCCGACCAACTGAGACGGAACTCTGGGAGGCACTCCGAAAAGAGAACCCGCCAACAGCCAATATCGTTTCTCTGATTCTATAAAACAGGAAAAGAAGTGGCGACCCGGGAAGGAGCAGAAGGAAAGTAAAGGGTCTAAAGGAAATGGCTTCATTTATTATTGAATATTATTTTATACGCTCGCTCTCCGGTTCAATCTCTTGCCTCCTGTGGCAGCAGCGTAAAATCGAAAATCAATGGCCGGGATGTGGCCTGCCAGTTGGTTGGCCATAACAATTCCGATGCTAATGGTTGAGGAAGAAGGAGCAGCCGTACAATAGACATGGGCCCAAAGTGCAGGAAGTGACTGCAGACAAATGGATATGGCCTGGAGGAATCTTTAGGACTGTGGCTCACCTCACGGTGAACGCGCTGCGGCGGGTCACCTGCGCCTCCTCCTTGATGTGGCGATGCGAGCGCTTCTGTTGTTGCTTTTCGCGGTCAAAGTCAATTGACGATACCCGCTCCAGGGCCTGGTGACATATAACATCACGATCCGAAACGGACTTCATGTTGCGGATAACGTAGGTGCCGCCAAAGCGCGAATGCCGACCAGGCGGAGGTTTAGCTTGGCGACGGGCACGCTCCCGGCGGCGGGCAGCCATGAGCTCCTGCTGGTCACGTTGCTTCTCACTGAGGCTGCGCTGGAGGGAGGCATCCGCTAAAGATTCAGCACTCTGGAGGATATAAAGTATTAGATAAAAATTCGTTATATGTTTTTAAAATCCTGTTAACCAACCTGTTCCCTGTAAAGCAAGCAGAGAATCTCCAGTCCGTGCAGGTGGAACTGCTCCTCATCCGGCGAGGATATTATAAACAGCACCAAGTCCAGCATTCCCGTTTGATGGAGAGCCCAAATAATCTGATCATGTAGACTGGCATCGTTGTCAGCCCGACATTCGGCCTCCGGATTGGCCGGAACTTGCAGGACATTCCGCACCAGTACCAGGATGCGTTCAATCAGCAAATTCTGCTCCTCGCTGCGAATGGCAAAGGCCTGAGGGCACAAGCAAGAAAGGAGGAGAAGGAATCCCATTAAGAGTCAGTGTAATAAAATGCTGCAGCAAATCCCAGTGTAAAAATCTAAGCACCAAATCCCGCGAGTCAAGTTAAAATAATCAAATGAAATGAAATTAAATTAAATTGCAAATTTATGTAGCTCGACTGTAAAACGGAAGCCCCGACTCAGGGAAAGACAAGCGATGGGACCACAACAAAGTCAAGTTGAAATCAATTTGAGTCGGGTGTGGGCTATAAGGTTGGGTGGAGAATGTGGGCGGGTGGGCGTATGGGTGCTTGTTGGGTTGCTGGATGTCCTTGGTCGCAGCAGGACATTACAGTTGCTGCTGTGAGCTTAAAAATAAATACAACTAATGCGGCTTTTGTGCCTACAAGCCAGCTGTGACTCCTCGACACCGAACCGAAACCCACCCAGAGCCCAACAACTCGGGGACCTGGACCCCACAACCCCGGCGGGGGCCCTTCTCAAAGGCAAAGTTAATAATGACTTCCGCTTTTGGTTTCCCTACGCAACACCAACGGCAAAAGTGGGCCCAGACCGAGGAGGAGGCGGCTCATTCAAAACTGAAAGCTCAAAGTTCCGGCCTCAGATCGGAGAAAGTGGAGGAGGACTTTCTCCACCTCGGGTCTGTCCACTTGGCTGCTCGCCGCGCATACATCAAAGCGTGTAAGTCGGCGCGACGCAAATAAAGAAGTAAAGCATAAAAAGTCAGGCCGCAACAACAGTGCACTTGAAAAAATAACTTTTTAAAACTAAACATTTTAACATGAAGAAATAATGCTACAGTTTTGTTTTGTACACTAAATATATATTTATTTTTGACTTATGACTTTTAACTTTATTGTACATAACATAAATAGTTTGAATATTTTTGATTTGAGTGCATCTTTTGAAAGGAAGAGTCGGGGTGGAAAGCTCGTACAGCCAGAGGCAACAGCGGAAAAATCCTCGCACACATTCATTATCAACGACAACAGCCACACAGCAACAAAAACAAATAGACAGCAACCATATAGAAATTCGACTGCATTTAACCTAACACCAAAAAAAAACGAGGAAAATGAAAATAGAAAACCAAGAAAAACGGCACAAATAAAAGGAAAAGAGCTCCCTAAAAAATGGAAATGTAAAGAAATCCTCGGGCGACTCTTTGGCAACGCCGGCAACACAGCGCCATGAAAATCCTTTGGAATTGCTCCCCGGAGTGTTATGAATGTCGATTCAATCGGCTTTAAATGAATTTATTTCGTTGTGTTAGACGATAAGGCAGCGTGGAGCTCAAAACACGATGGATGGCCCGGCTCTCGCATCGTTTAAGTACAGGCTTTTATATTCCAGTTGCCAGGATTTTATAAGTTGAATAATTATTAAAAACTGCTATCTTTAGCTACAGCCGGCTTGATTATCCTGCAAACAGTTGGGGCGGCAAATAAAGCATTTATGGTTTACCCGCAAGGCTCATGGTAGTCAAGCCGGAGCTCATCCGCAAATTTTACACGAAATCAGGCCCTTTTCTTTTATTATACCCTTGCAGAGGGTATTATAATTCTGGTCAAAAGTGTGCAACGCAGTGAAGGAGACATCTCCGACCCTATAAAGTATATATATTCTTGATCAGGATCACCTTCTGGGTTGATATAAGCATTTCCGTTGGCCTCTCTGTTTCTACGCTAACTAGTCGAAAGCTATTGACTTAAAACTTTGCATACACCCTTCTTTCCTTTGCAAGCAAAAGAACGGATCACATCTCGAAAAATGGATAAAAAATCTAAAAAATATTTTGTTTCAGGATTTTGATGCAGAATGGAGGAGAATCGATCTACAAATCGTTTAAGGTACTCCGCTTGAGAATCGGATTCTAATTGGGGAAGATATAGCCATGACAGTGGGCCCTGTAGGGGAAAACCCCATTTTCAAGGGAACCCATTAGAAAAATGGACAAAAAATCTGAAAAATATTTTGTCTCAGGATTTTGATGCAGAATGGAGGAGAATCGATCTACAAATCGTTTAAGGTACTCCGCTTGAGAATCGGATTCTAATTGGGGAAGATATAGCCATCACAGTGGGCCCTATAGGGGAAAACCCCATTTTCAAGGGAACCCATCAGAAAAATGGACAAAAAATCTTAAAAATATTTTGTCTCAGGATTTTGATGCAGAATGGAGGAGAATCGATCTAGAAATCGTTTAAGGTACTCCGCTTGAGAATCGGATGAGAATTGGGAAAGATATAGCCATGACAGTGGGCCCTGTAGGGGAAAACCCCATTTTCAAGGGATCCCATCAGAAAAATGGACAAAAAATCTTTAAAATATTTTGTCTCAGGATTTTGATGCAGAATGGAGGAGAATCGATCTACAAATCGTTTAAGGTACTCCGCTTGAGAATCGGATGAGAATTGGGAAAGATATAGCCATGACAGTGGGCCCTGTAGGGGAAAACCCCATTTTCAAGGGATCCCATCAGAAAAATGGACAAAAAATCTGAAAAATATTTTTTCTCAGGATTTTGATGCAGAATGGAGGAGAATCGATCTACAAATCGTTTAAGGTACTCCGCTTGAGAATCGGATGAGAATTGGGAAAGATATAGCCATGACAGTGGGCCCTGTAGGGGAAAACCCCATTTTCAAGGGATCCCATCAGAAAAATGGACAAAAAATCTTAAAAATATTTTGTCTCAGGATTTTGATGCAGAATGGAGGAGAATCGATCTACAAATCGTTTAAGGTACTCCGCTTGAGAATCGGATGAGAATTGGGGAAGATATAGCCATCACAGTGGGCCCAATAGGAGAAAACCCCATTTTTAAGGGATCCCATCAGAAAAATGGACAAAAAATCTTAAAAATATTTTGTCTCAGGATTTTGATGCAGAATGGAGGAGAATCGATCTACAAATCGTTTAAGGTACTCCGCTTGAGAATCGGATTCTAATTGGGGAAGATATAGCCATCACAGTGGGCCCTATAGGGGAAAACCCCATTTTCAAGGGAACCCATCAGAAAAATGGACAAAAAATCTGAAAAATATTTTGTCTCAGGATTTTGATGCAGCATGGAGGAGAATCGATCTAGAAATCGTTTAAGGTACTCCGCTTGAGAATCGGATGAGAATTGAGAAAGATATAGCCATGACAGTGGGCCCTGTAGGGGAAAACCCCATTTTCAAGGGAACATATCAGAAAAATCGACAAAAAATCTGAAAAATATTTTGTCTCAGGATTTTGATGCAGAATGGTGGAGAATCAATCTAGAAATCGTTTAAGGTACTCCGCTTGAGAATCGGATGAGAATTGGGAAAGATATAGCCATGACAGTGGGCCCTGTAGGGGAAAACCCCATTTTTAAGGGATCCCATCAGAAAAATGGACAAAAAATCTTAAAAATATTTTGTCTCAGGAGTTTTATGCAGAATGGTGGAGAATCGATCTACAAATCGTTTGAGGTACTCCGCTTGGGAATCGGATGAGAATTGGGGAAGATATAGCCATGACAGTGGGCCCTGTAGGGGAAAACCCCATTTTCAAGGGATCCCATCAGAAAAATGGACAAAAAATCTTAAAAATATTTTGTCTCAGGATTTTGATGCAGAATGGAGGAGAATCAATCTAGAAATCGTTTAAGGTACTCCGCTTAAGAATCGGATAAGAATTGGGAAAAATATAGCCATCACTGTGGGCCTTACAGGAGACTATATGCCATTACTATCGGAAAAATCGCAAGGGTATATCACTTCGGCTCTGCCTGAAGTTAGCCTTTATTTTATGTTTTTTTAAGAAGCCAGAAGCGAATCTTGAAACTTCCTCCGCTTCTAATTTAAAGGCGTTACATGTATAGAAAGTTTAATATAAAGTCGGATTAAACAAAAAAAATAAAATAAAAAAAAAAACAACAAAAAAATTTAAAAATAAAAAATAAAAATAAATAAAAAAAAAATAATTACAACAAAAATTACAACAAAACTACAACAACCAACAAAAACATCAAAAATTACAACAATATTTAGAGCAAAAAAAAAAAATAACTATTTTTCCGATTTTTCGGGCGTTCTTAGGTGCAACCTATGAGAATCGAGGAGGAGGGCACTATTTTTCAATTAATTATTTTTTAATATTTTATTGAATAGTTACCAAATTAAAACAACTTCTGGCAAGGTATCGTACGCAAACAAACGGTACAATTTTACTCGTCGTTTCTATTTGACTTCTAGGCAACCATAAAAGTAGGCTATGGAATTATGAGTGTTTAAATTTTCAGATTTATAATTTATAAACATCATGTTATCCTTAAGAAATTAAAGAAGATTTCTGTTGTTTTAAAAGCTTTGTAAGCTTATCTATCATGGCAAATAATTATCAGCTTATATAGTACAGTTACTTAGCAGATATAATTAAATTACAAAAAACTATAAAAGAAAGCTAACTTTGGGCGGAGTCGAAGTTCATAATACCTTGATAGCTTGACCCTTTACCCTTGATAGTCCATAGCGTTGCACACTTTTGACAAAAATTAGATTACCCTCTGGAAGAGTATAAAAACCAAACTTCTAAAAATAATTCCTCTTGTATTATTTTAGGAACCTTTTCTATCATCTAAAGCCTAACAATTGAAAAAATTGTAAAACGCAGAGGATAAAAAAGGACCCACCCACACACCAACCTATCCACCCAAACACTCACATGGATTGGCAATCATTGTTGCCTTGTTTTGGCCTTTGTGGTTTCGACATTGCTCCTACCCACCCGTGGAGGTATAATTTGATTCGGTCTGGCTTTAGCTTTTTTCAGCTTTTGAGAGTTTGGCGTTGACACGGAGGCCGGAATTCGGATCTGAGGAGTGACGTGTTTGATGCCAAGGTGCCGTCGTATGCGTTGTCATTTCGCCACAGTGAAGCCTCGTCGCCACCCAGCACTTGTCGTGGGTGTTTATTAAAGCGACCTGTTGCGGCTAAAAGCAATTTGGGCGAAACCTTTTAGAGATTTGACTGGAAATTGTGAGATATGTTCAAATTAAATTCCTTTCAGATTTTCGACAGTACAAAGGATGAGAAAACACTTCAAGGGGTTTCGGGTTGCTGGAGTAAAAGGAAAAAAAGGTCGTAGGGAACAAATAGGGAAGATTAAAGTGAGTAGATATGAAGTTCAAATTAGTTATGAACCCCCACAAAGGAGACGAGAGTAGTCATAAAAGCCAGGAACTGGCCAAAACAAACTCTTAGTGGGGATGAGAAATGGGAAAAGCATTTTCTCTGCCCACACAAAAACTTGACTTCTAGCAGCTGCAAGAGCCATTAAAACTTTTGCGTACCCGCTCGGCCATTAATACATAGATTATAAAGATTACAGAAATAGTTGCGCAAATGCCCCAACGATAATTGCCTGGGCTTTAGAAACCATAGTGAAACGGGAATAACATAAGCTAAATATATTTTTGAGGATAAGAGATCTTTAAATAATTCCCTAAACTAATTAGGCAAACAAAACGGCATACAACTTTTTCATAAATAGCTCCCTGAACATCATTATGAGGAAATAAAAATATATATTTTATATTGAACCGAAATTTTTATAATTCATTAACTCGGAAAAGAGTGAAGACAAAATACATATGCGTAGACTTTACAATTTAGAAATCAACTGCCATGGGGGTACAAACATATTTCCGTAAGATTTTGAAAACATTACAAAATATTCCAAAAAACATTTCTAATTCATCAGCGTCATCATCAAAAAAAACATAATAATAAAAATTATGGTACGCTGGAGTACTGAATAGTTATTGAAGTCGAGACGACTGGAGTGACTAGGCACTTGGACCAGCAACTGGGGCGCCAGAGGCTTTACACGTGGAAACTGATGCAGCGGATTATCAATATAGTTGGCCCCTTCATTAACGTAATAGGTGCTCCTGAGCATTCGAAGACGTTGGTTATTGATAGACACACATCTGGTAGTTGTCGGAAAGCCGCTGCCTGCATGACGAATGGTGATCAAAGCATTCTCGCCAATCCGGGACTGACAATATGGACACTTCACATTGTCTCCCTGCGTCTTGGTCCAGGATTTTATACACTTAGAACAAAAGAGGTGCCCGCAGAAGCTAACACGTGGCACACAGGCGGTGCGCAGGCACACCAAGCAAGAGTAATGTGTGGATTCAGAAACCGACTGGCCATTTGCACCGGTGTCCTCCTGGCGTATCTCGGCCCCCTCATCCTGCACTTCCTCTCGGTTAACAACTTCTACCATTATACTTTTTTTTCGATAGGGAATTTTTTTCGGTTCTGACTTTTTAAAATGGAATTTATTAGTTGTAACTGGTTCGTTGCTACTCACTATTTCCAATGCCCGTTTGAGCTTCTCGAAAAGTGACGTCCAGATTTTGTCCTTGGCAAAGGCTGCTTTGTAGCCCTGTAGTATGTCGATCAACTCCATGAACACTTTCCGTCCATGATTATCACTCGGTGGTCCGTCTCTGAACAGTAGCAGCGTCGGATTGGTAAGGATGACCAGTAGGCGAATGAGCAAATCGGACAATTCCTCATGATGTATGTAATCCGGTAGCATGTACACCAAATCTGTCTGCAGCACCTTTGCTCGTCCCAAATGGCGGCGATACTCGTGGTTGTCCAAATCTCTTCGCAGTATCCAAATTAAGTGCTATAAGAAAGACAATAAATATCACTGCATCCAATGGATTTCTTTTAATTGTTGCACCTTTAAGCTATCGGCGGCATCAGGTTCTGCCTCATATTTGTCTCCATCGGTGTAACCCAGTGCAGCGCACGTTGCATCAATATTAGCCAATAAAATGGACATTTTTCATTTAAGTTTCACAGTTTGAACAATAAATAAACAAATTGTTTTGATCGCAAAATAAAAACACAGCACAATATGATTTTCGAGCGAAAAAGGCGCGAAACACAAAAACAGCTGCTCGATCGATAGGCGATAGAAATATCGATAGTTTAGGCAAGAAGTTAGAGAAAAATCGAATAGTGGCGCACTTTTTTGAAAAAACATTTGAGAACATTTGATTTTTTAATTAAAGTTCGTTTTTAATTTAAAAATGTAATCATAAGCATTTGACAACTATAAATAATTAAAGCCTTGAAAAATATTGATCCCAAAACAGAACACAAATTTTAAACACTTAATATCTTTCATTTAAAATAATTTATTAAAAAGTCCATTATTCTTAAATTTACTTTGTGTACATTTGAAGATAACTTGCAGGCTTACTGGAGCATAAGCCATTCGTATTTGTACACACAAGTATATTCATAGTTTCCATTTAAAATCGATTTAAATTGGAATTATTTGCTTGCATCCTGTGGAATTCAGGGGAGAGGAAGACAAGCTCCTTGAAGAAAGCAAATGGAAAGTCTCTTTTGTGCGCCGACCACCACCTCCCCAGTGCGGTAAATTTGAATCTCTTCACCATTTTCATTGGTTATTGGAGCAGGAAATTGCTCGGCAAGCCGGGGCCACAAACGAATCATGCAAATAATATTCCTGGTCAGGCTGCAAACGCTCTAATCACCCGAACACATTAAAAACTAAAGGCAAAAGAAGAGGCGAAATTAAAAGCAAACATCGAGGCTGCCGAGGATACCAGGATACCACTACCACCACCACCACATGTACTATGTAGTCACTCAAATGATATGAACAAACACGCTGGGCAAACTTTTTCCAGTCCCAGAGAAAATACGGAACGGAACGGAAGTACCTGGTGGGCCTGAAGGCTTTTACTTGCTCTCTTGCCACCGCTTCCCTGGGAAGAAGTTGAATTTAATTAACTAAGTAAATGCCCAGACATGGGCAGCCTTATTTATCAAAGTTCTCAGCCGGCGATGACGATGATGGGGCAACAACTACTTCTAAAACTTGCTGCCTTGACCAAATAAGCAGAGCACGTCAAAGCGCCCAAGGGACTCCTCCTCGTTCATTCTCTCACCGAACCAATGAGTGACAGACTGACAGCAAGGACGAAGGACACTATGCAAACCTGATTATAATGTGTCAAATCCATTATGTGCTGTCAGGCTTTTAGGCACCGAGAGCGCCTTTTCGGGGTCACCGAACGAACTTTCGAGCCAACTTTGCCCAGCCGACTAAGTTAATTATAATTCTGGACCTCAGCTAAGCCGTCAAGAGCCAAGGACTCAATTAAATGCATAGCCCAAAATGCACTCAATCGAGATTCTACTATTTGATTTTCAATTTTTCACTTCAAATACTAAATAAAGATGTTTTGACAAGGTTTATGCCAGATTATAAATCATGTTTAATGTTTTTACCAAAGGAGTGGTGACTGTGCGCCTTTCGTTCAGAGTTGTCACGCATATTTTTGACAAAAACGCCATTAAACAGAAAATCGAAAGGATACTCCTTTAAGTGTTTCCAGGTCTCTGGAACAGCAGGATGTTTCTGATTTATCCAAAAGCAACAATACTGATCCGACATAGTGCCTTTGAGTGTTATGTTAACTTCTCCAGAATTCGCGCCTTCAGCGTATATATATTTTTCTGTTTTACGTGTCCTTCCCACGGTCTTTTTCAGACTTAAAGAACTCTGAGGTGGAAAACTTTTTTTTTTAGTGGTGATTTCCACAGGAACTTCAAAATCATCAAGAGCCTCTTGCATATGAGTGAGGAAGGGCAGGAAAACCAGGGTTCCTGGAATATTTTCGGTTTTTAGAAAGGTAGGCAGTAGATAGTTTTTTAGTATTACCCAATAATATTATCCATTTAAGCATTATGAAAGACCTGCCTTGTTGAATTGTTTCCCAATAGTAAATAATACTAATAAGAATCAAATCATTATGATTATAAGAGCATGAAATTGCAATTGTTTCATAGAATTGGTATTACCAAGGTAAAGATACTGAAAATGTATATTCAATGTTTTTATTTTTCAAATACTTTCTAAATATATAAACATATAGTTCACCTTATAGACTCTGATTTTCACGATCGTCTGAGCCACATGCCATACGCCACACACTCGTTAGTGGCTCCAATTTGGCCCCCGGGTTAACCATTGTCAATGCTCAGTTGGGCTAGACAAACAAAGCCAGGCCGAAAACTGGTTGGGAGCACAGATGCCGCCGAAAGGCAACTAAAAGTGCAGCGAAATAACGGCATCTGACAGATGTCAGCTGCCATGTTGACTTTGCAGCTTGTGGCCGCCATTTTGCTAGGATTTGGGCCAACGCTCCTGTTTTGTCCGAGCCAAGCCAAGCCAACAGAAGCCCATCGCAGCCCCAAAAGCCCAACTCTAAAACGCATCCCGATCCCCGTCCCTGTGCCGGCCGAATTCAATTGTTTGCACAGCCTTCATCTTGCATTCTGATTGCGTGGCTTAATTGCATAGCAGCCGCGAACTGGGCCAGATTTGGTTTTGGGTTTTGTGCCTGGTGTGTTGGGCTGTTGGCCAAAGGTGAAAGCCGTAATGAAAGCGAAAGCCCAGTGCACTTCTATGGAGACGACCACAGCCGGCACAAAATGAAATTACCGCCAGGCCGCAAGGAAAACATAGAGTTGTGCTGCGTGTGATGCGGCTTCCTTTTCGACCTTCTCTCGAAACAAAGGAAACTAGCAGGAGAAAAAAAAGGGGAGGAACAATAAAAAAAGGACCTTCTCCCTGCCAGAACAAAGCGGAGAAAACAATTTCAAAACAAATAAAACTCACACCTGAGACTGGACGGGGTCCCACAAGTTCTGGTCAGCTGCTTTGGGTCTCACAGCGGTTGCCCCGGGCGAAAATGAATTGTTGTAAATCAATTTGTACCAGAATCCAGACCAGAATCGGGACAACAACAATGTGGCAATTACATGGGCATTTTTCAATCTGAATGGCGGAAAAATGGTGGTGCTCCGCCCAATAATGGGCTACGATTTGTAACAAAAGTAATACAAAAATGTAAAGCATACTTATTTGGGATTTATATGATATCCTTAAAAAAAATTAAATTAGCCTTAATTACAATTGTACTTACATTATTTTTAATGTCTTATTAAAATCATAATAATCTTATTTAAATGTTTTTAAAAATATCTATACAAATGAATCTAAAGGTAACTGCTATTGCCATTTGATACCTGTGAGACCTTTCTATATCTTTAAAATTATAAAACCCTTGAAAAAATTAAGTTATATAATGCATCCACCACATTATCCTGTCAACAGCTAATATGCTGTTCCAGACAAATACAGAGCAATCAGCGAAAGTGTCGTGGGATGAAAGCGAAAGTCTGCCAAAGGAAACCCTAGTCCATATCCCTGCGAATACACTGTTGAGTTCCCGTCTTTTCTCCCTGGTCTAGGTTTAGTCCCACTCCTGCGGGAAACAAATCAAAGGGAAATTGTAAACGACAAGTTAATCTCGCTTGAAGTATAACCGGAAGCCATTTTATGACCCAATGGACAACAAGGGGAGATCCCCGCTCAAAGGACTTGCATCTCGGATGCCCAGGAAAAAATACACAAGATAGGGCACATTTGCACTGAGTTCAACTTAAATAAAACAATTTATTCTGCACATTTTGCTGGCCAGTGCAAAATGAATTAAAGTTCAATAAAATGCGGAAAAAGAACCGAGGGACGACCCCGAAATGGCCGGGTGTGGGGGTCGAAATGGAAAAGTTTCCTTTTCTTTTGAGCGGCTGCGGCTTGTGAGCGTCTTTATCTGCCTTTGGCCTTTGTTTCTTGGGATTTTTCTTCGCTTCCCTGTTTTCCAACCCGATTGTTGTGGCAGCGTTTTTCATGATGTTTGCACATTCGCTCCTTGTAGCGTTCTTCCGACCGATTTTGAGTTACAAAGCCAAAATCTCAGCAATCTGGGCCGGAGAAAACAGCAGCAACAGCAGCGGTGGCGGCGGCGGCGGCGGCAACGAAAAAGCTGAAATACCTTTTGCATGCTTCATTGGCGTTGCCTTTCTGCTGAGTGAACATCAAATGGGATTTGTCTGCTGGCTCCACCGCCGGACATATGTATCTGTATCTGTGTATCTTTTGGGTGGTACAACGTACTACATACGTATATCTTTGTGTGTGTGTGGGTGGGTTCTTGGTTGCGTAACAGTTCAATGGTGTGTTAAGCACACCCATACACCGAGCTCGGACGGAAACCAATTGATAGATGGATGAATGCTGGCTGTTTATGTGCCAACAAGCAGCCCATAACACGGTCCATAAAAGTAGCCCGGCTTTTGACCAAGGTGTCGGTTTAGTTCGCCTTCCAGCATCAATGTGCGAACTTCCCGAATAAGCCACATTGCAGTTATAGACTGCACTTATGCAAATTAATCCCATGATTGAGGAAACTGATTGTTAACCGCAGCCGTAAAACCATCTCGGAATTCGTTCGTTTGACTTGTTTCCTCACTCAAAAGGACATCCCCAAAGAATCCTTTGAGTCACACATGAAGCATGGTGCCTCCCGGGGGAATAAATCGTCATAAACTGGGTCAAAATTCACATTTGAGTTCCCCAGCCAAAAAGGTTCTCAGCAGCAAATGAAGAGGAAAAATAATCACAATTTATCCGTGAATTTTTGATTCAGATTATCATTGAAAATTGAATTTGCAAACCACTGAACATTTTTTCAGAAAATGTGTGAAAAAATATATAATTTAAAGAGGAAACTGTAACTCCTACGTTGTAAACATAACCAAATAAAATATTTAATTTATCTTGATAGCAGTTTAAAAACTTCATGAATAAAAAGAAGATCGTCCCGGATCTGGTAGTCCCTAAATCTTTGACTAAAAACTCAAGCAATAAAAATGCCTTTTTTCCCGAAACCGTATGCGTGTGTGGGTCCTTGTTTTTAATCTCTCTCCCTCACCCAAGACTGCCTATATCTCTGTGTACATTTCGTTTTTCCCTGCCATTTATTTGTTTTTTATGTTTTTTGAGCGTCTGCCAGGCGCATAACTCAAAGTGCTTGAGCTTCAGCCTTCGATGCCGTGCAGATAATGATGCTAAAAGTGTCGCCCGGGAAAATAAGTGGGCGGGCCAGTCGCCTGAATCCAGGTAAACCAATGTCTTGGCAAAAGGAATAACATATCGAAAAATGAATTTCATTGAGTGTGGGGGTGCACCCCCAAAAAGCCTTCAGGATATGGGATGGGTGAAAAAGTGAGAGTCAGCAAAATCTGTTTCAATAGCTTTCGCCGCACTTCTTGGGTGGATGGGGTGGAGTCCTGGCAAAGTCATAAAATCGCGCAAGAAGCTACAAAACATAAACAAGACCAACAACAAGCCAGGATTGCGACTGGGTCTGGGAAGGAATGCGGAAGAGGAGCAGCTATAATGATGTAAAATATATCGCTGAGATTTAGGCGACTTTAGCAAAGGTCTGTGCGTGTGCTGATAAAAGCCAGCCAACAAAGCCAAAAATAAAACCGAACCGGGAAAAATAAAATCAGAAAATGTGGAAAAGTGTTGAGAGCGCGTGGCGAGCACTTCAAAGTCACAAACAAATGCATAAAATATCGGATGGCAGAGCTCGATATTATTCAATTTGTTCTAATAGCCGCGCTTAGCTTACCCTCACACACCGGGCCCACATGGCGTATACGCAACATTTAGCGTCGCCAGCTTCAAGACCGAGTTCAGCGTAGGATTTTCCGCACTTAATGGCAACTGAAGTGTATTGATGATGTCGCTGGTGCCCTCGAGCTGGTGCCTCGCAAATCTGACTCGAGAATTTCAACTTCAATGATGCGCAATTTTATGCACAAGTCTTTTGCATAAATTTCGGCGTACTCTTCCGTCTCCCCGAAAGGATTTGAGCCATCAGTCCGCCAAGGAGATTGTCTTCCCAGGGCTTTTAAGTCACTTTTGAGCAGGAAACGAGTGCGTAAAAACGTTAATACGCCTTTGATATGCGCCCTGCCTCTTTGATTCGCATTTATGACATTTGCTGATACAATTTAGCCAAAAGACGGGCCTGGCCAAAATGCTTTTCTTATATGCAGATCAAGGGAAATTTATTGAAATTGTTCAGCACTTTATGCATCATAAATCTGTTGCGATTTGCGTTATAAACCAAGCTCAATTCAATACAAAATTAAATTTATGTTACAGAAAATGATCTTAAAAATAAAAATATTTCACTGATGATATATAATTTTTAATAACAACAAAGATAAGATATCAAAGGCACTCCTTACGAAATCTTTGAATAAACTTTTCAATTAACAAGGACATAACTTGAATCTCCGTAAACCCACACAGATTTGGGAAAATAATCAGTGTCCCCTGAAGTCACTTTTGACCAGGCTATAATTTAACGAACCCGCAATTTGTTCAGTTTCGATTTCTGCAGATCCAATTACCATTCCATGGTCGATAGATAGAAAGAGTTGAGGGTTGAGAAAAGGAAAATTTATTAAGTGATAAATTTCGGGGCATTGCGAAAAATGTCAAAGAAGGTCAATTGAAAAGCGAAAGCTCCGGGAAAGGTTGCTCGAGACGTCCTCGACCACCGACCAGAACATATTCCCACTAACACACTCAATCACAGCAGTCCGTCCGTTGTCAGCGAAGCGAGAAAGGAGGCAAGGATACGTCGATTTGTACCGCCTTCCAACCAACTTGGCCAAAACGAAACGAAAATGGCGCACAAAACAAAAGCCGCTCAGAACAAATTACCGGAGTCGTCTTTTCTATGGCTTTGCCTTTTCTTTTCTGGCTTTTTCCTTTTTTTTATATATTTTTTTTGCTCTATTTTTTATTTGTTACTTTCTTTTGGTTTCATTCCTTTTGCAACTTTTTTGTTTGCCAATTGCACTTTTCAACTGCCCCCATTTAAGTTTTTTTTTCTCCTTCCATTGAAGATGACCAGCGTCCAGACCTAATGCCAACATTAGTACACTCAGAAAAGGTCAGCTTAGTTTTCGAAAACAAACTGAAACTGAAACAGAAAGACTATAAGATAATGTGTACATTTTTCTCAGTGAAGAAGTTGAGTTAGTCCCTGGAGGAAAATGTGTGTACAGCTGCGTTCACTGAACTGAAGGCACCCAATTGGACACGGATCGGTTGGGGTTCGGGGTTTGAAGCATGGGGAAAGTCCCCCAAGTAGACAGTTTTTGGCCGAACAACGCCAACCCATTTACCCATTTAAACATTTATGTAATAGGCTTGAAATTTCCATTTGGCAGCCGCAAAAACTGCACAGTCCTCTGCCACAATGAAATGCTGAGCGGACACCTTCGAGACTTTGCCAGAAAATGGGTTTCATGTACATACATATACTCGCACTATAGAATCGTATAAAAGCACCCAGCTGCAGCAGCTGCAGAATTAAAAATTTAAAGCGTTTACACCAAAGCATTTTCAGTGGACCAGCTCCACCGCAATGAGTCCTAAGCAGGTAAGCAGGTAATCTCGTGACTATGACCTAGTCCTGTCTGTTATTTAGTTAGAGATGAGCAAGCAAAATGTGGAGCTGCTTAAAAAACAAAAGGACATACCGCGTGCATGGCAGACAATGGTCTTAAAAACAAGACAAAGAAAAAAGAAAATAAAAAGCTTCTCCTAAGTATATAAATGGGATTTCGAAGCAGAATAAATCTGCTTTTAAACAGTTGAAGTAAAGGATTTAATAAATATTCTATTGTTTTGAAGAGTGAAAATCCTTGCATGTTCCCTTGCTATTTGAATTATTAGATTTCTATTGATTTTTAAAAAAACTTTCAATGCCATTCAGCGTCTTGCATAAAAATGAATATTTTTCTCAAATGCGACGACGTCTTGCATCTCTAAAGAGCAGCTCGCATTTCATTTAATTTGAGCTGCCAGTGGCACACGGCTTTCGGGTTTGCATTAATTTGAAATGCGACCCAATGGCACTCCAGTTGCGTTTTCTGGTGGCAAGGTCCTGCAACTGACCATCCCGACCAGATGGCACGTAAGCTCGTTTCGAATTTTAAATTGAAATACTTTGTCCTGACTGAGGAGAAGTACTTGCATTTTTTCAAACCCAAAAATTAGGTTTTGCATTCCGAAATGTTTTCAATGTTCCCCAAAATGGCGCAACTTTCATTATTAAAGTGCATTTCAGTTCCTTGGCCAAAAACCGCAATAGGATAGAGTTTTCTCTTGTTTTTTTTTTTTTTGCTGGTTGGGGCTTTTGGGGCATTGGAGCAGGAACAACAATAACACGAACACGAACTGTGAGGATGCAACTCCCACGTCTATTTTTTGCGTTTACTTTTGTTCATTTTTAATACGACTTCTTTGCCTTGGGGCCGGTCGACTCCTATTCTCTCGTTTTTTTGGCCCAAAGTCGTGTCTCTGGGTGGGCGAGTGTGAGTGTGCGTGTTTTAGCCAGAAAGTTGCGGTTTGGTTGCACTTAAATTATTGCATCGAGACCGAGTCCTTGAGCTTCAAAGGCATTCACCCCTTTTTTGGGAGAGGGCACGGTCAGATGGCAATTAAATAATTTGCGGTCTGTGTTCATCCGAGGCGTAAACTTTTCAAAATGCTTCAAGAAATAAATTAGCCAAGTGGCTGCCTGACCGCCTGAACTGGAATACACAAAGTGCACAAAGTGCCCACTCCATTCAGTGTTTTGTGGCAATTGAAAAACTCCAATTAGCCCGGCCTAAGGGGGTCAGGCTTATCTTTTGCAGCAAACTGAAAGAGTATCTCTACAAAAAAAGCCCACTTTGGACCGGCTCCCACAAATGGCAGGCAATAAATCAATGGGCTGCCGCACCCAGGCCCACAAACACTATCCATATCCCGAACAAGGGCACATGCCCAGATTGTATACCGCTAGTATCCTAGTTGGTCATCGATTTAAAAGAACGAGAATATTGAGTCATGTTCAACAAAAAGGCAAATCTTTTCACATATTTTCTTTCATTCAAATTTTTTAATTGGGAAATCAGTACCTTCTTATCAACGCTTCAAAATTACGAATTTTTAGTTTGTGGGTTTTTTTCTTGGTTTTCGAAAGCTATTCGATTTTCACTTAGACTCTCATTGGGGGTGACTTATTGATAAAAAATATTTTGTATATTTTGAAACTCGGATTGACTGTATACATGACTATATTGCGGTAAGTATACACATATATAATCTATACAATATATGGTATAAATAACAAACAAAACTTCACAGGTTTGCCTAATTTATTTCAGTTGAAAAGATCTTTTAGTGATGGAAGGCACAACCCCAGATCGAATATTATCGCGGACCCTGAACATTCTGTGTGGAATGTGCAGGTCTTTTTTCCAGTCAAACGATGTCATCTATAATATTGGATGTGGGCATTTGTTCCACAAAACCTGTCTGAATACCCGGCCTTTGAAACACCCTAATTGCCCACAATGTGGCAGACCCAGCAATGGATCACAACAAAGGATTTTTCTGGCATTTGAGGAACCCTCCACTGTGGACGAAGAGTGTCTTCCCTACAAGTGGGTGCCTATGAAGCTCGGATCCAACGCTGATGGCCAACTCCCTCCCGGAGCCATAGAATGTGGCACCGACGACGAAGGTCACAAGGCATATGTGGCCCGTGTCATTAAAGGTCAGGAACTCTTACCGGCGAGCTATGTTCCCACAAAGCAAGCCGCCCTGGCAACCACCTGCCAGGTAGCTTATTGGCTTACAGAGGACGTCGAAGTGCTGGTACTGGAGAATTGTTATCACAAATGGGTGGCCGGCCAGTTCGGAAGCTATCCTCTAGATGCCCTTGAAACTGGATATTCTGACACGGGCGATGTAACCTACACGGGTCGTGCATTTTTTAAAGGTATTCTAAGAATGGGAAAAGTTGATCCCTCGTCTAAAACGATGTCTGTCGCCCACAGGTTCTAGTGATCTGAGGTTCTAGTGATCACTGACCAGGAAAACATCGAACAAGCTAGCCTAAACGAAGAGAATCATTCTTATAAATGGATAAGATTAGATGTTGAACCAAACGCACTTCCCTCTTCCAACCAGCTCCCTCCCGGAGTCGTACAGTGTGGCACAGACGATGAGGGTCACACGGCATATGTGGCGCGCGTCATAAAAGGGCAGGAGCTTCTACCAGCGAGTTACGTTCCTGATAAAAAATCCGCTCTAGCATCCACTTGCCACAAATCCTATTGGCTTACGGAAAACGTCGAAGTTCTCGTACTGGAAAACTGCGATCACAATTGGGTGGACGCCCACTCCGGAGAATATCCGCCGGATGCTCTCGAAACTGGATATTCTGACACCGACGAAATAACCTACACGGGATGTTGTTATTTCATGGGTAGCCTGAGAATCGGAAAGGTGCATCCCTCATTTAGATTGATGTTCGTCGCCCACCGTGCTAGAGAAGAATGCGTCTTGCAATACAAAGTTTTGGTCCTCACACCCCGCTATCGTTAATCAGAGCCACTGAACCCTTAAATATTTCATAAACGTGTATATTTTCCAAAAGATTGAATTTTTGAATAATCTTATAATCTAAAAATAGACAATATTGTTTTAAATAAAATTAAAAATGTAATTCCACTTGAAACTGATTGCTAGGCATAACAAAATATTGATTCATTATAAAAAAATTAATAGATGGTCTTGCTTAGAACATTAACATTTTTTATATTGTTTTCTTCATAACATTTAATTTGCGCGCATATTCCACAGGGTGTATCAAGCGCACTGAAATACGTCAACACTAGATGGCGCTATCAAGACCATATCAAGAACGATATCAAGACCACGACTGTCGATAATTCCCGCAGAAAAGCTCAGACTTTTGAAGTTTCAACGAATTGGAATTTAAATTATAAAAGCATTCCGCTTTGGAGTTCATAGGAGTCCATATCTTTGGAGTTGGATGTTAAATGGCAAAGATATGGCCTCATATAAATTCCTCACAAATTTTAAAAGCGAATTAAAAGCATGGAAGGGCCATATGGGCCACCCAGTGGCGGATTTAACAGGTGGGCAAAGGCGCGCTTGCCCACTGGGCCCCCCCGACGAAAGGCTTTCAGGGCCCCTAGTGCTGAAAGTTACACCTTCGGTTTCTTTTCCACAAATCTGCATCAAAATCTGGGAACAAAATATTTTTAAGATTTTTTGTCAAATTTTCTGGGCTGTCCCCTTCAAAATGTGCAAAATGCATGGGGAGCCCCATATGACCCACTGCGAAGGCCATATCTTAGGAAATATTCATCCGATTCTTGAGCGGAATACCTTAAACGATTTGTGGATCGATTCTCCATAAATCTGCATCAAAATCTGGGAACAAAATATTTTTAAGATTTTTTGTCAAATTTTCTGGGCTGTCCCCTTCAAAATGTGCAAAATGCATGGGGAGCCCCATATGACCCACTGCGAAGGCCATATCTTAGGAAATATTCATCCGATTCTTGAACGGAATACCTTAAACGATTTGTGGATCGATTCTTCATAAATCTGCATCAAAATCTGGGAACAAAATATTTTTCAGATTTTTTGTCAAATTTTCTGGGTTGTCCCCTTCAAAATGTGCAAAATGCATGGGGACCCCCATATGACCCACTGCGAAGGCCATATCTTAGGAAATATTCATCCGATTCTTGAACGGAATACCTTAAACGATTTGTGGATCGATTCTTCATAAATCTGCATCAAAATCTGGGAACAAAATATTTTTAAGATTTTTTGTCAAATTTTCTGGGTTGTCCCCTTCAAAATGTGCAAAATGCATGGGGACCCCCATATGACCCACTGCGAAGGCCATATCTTAGGAAATATTCATCCGATTCTTGAACGGAATACCTTAAACGATTTGTGGATCGATTCTCCATAAATCTGCATCAAAATCTGGGAACAAAATATTTTTAAGATTTTTTGTCAAATTTTCTGGGCTGTCCCTTTCAAAATGTGCAAAATGCATGGGGAGCCCCATATGACCCACTGCGAAGGCCATATCTTAGGAAATATTCATCCGATTCTTAAGCGGAATACCTTAAACGATTTGTGGATCGATTCTCCATAAATCTGCATCAAAATCTGGGAACAAAATATTTTTAAGATTTTTTGTCAAATTTTCTGGGCTGTCCCCTTCAAAATGTGCAAAATGCATGGGGAGCCCCATATGACCCACTGCGAAGGCCATATCTTAGGAAATATTCATCCGATTCTTGAACGGAATACCTTAAACGATTTGTGGATCGATTCTTCATAAATCTGCATCAAAATCTGGGAACAAAATATTTTTAAGATTTTTTGTAAAATTTTCTGGGTTGTCCCCTTCAAAATGTGCAAAATGCATGGGGAGCCCCATATGACCCACTGCGAAGGCCATATCTTAAGAAATATTCATCCGATTCTTGAACGGAATACCTTAAACGATTTGTGGATCGATTCTTCATAAATCTGCATCAAAATCTGGGAACAAAATATTTTAAAGATTTTTTGTCAAATTTTCTGGGCTGTCCCCTTCAAAATACCCTTCAATGTACCCTGAAAAAATTTTGCCCACTGGGCCTTTTTCCTTAAATCCGCCACTGGGGCCACCAAATCTTCGCCATTACTGATCCGATTTCTAATGAGAATGTCTTAGACAAATTGTAAATAGATTCTTTATACATTTTAATCAAAATATAGAAACAAATTGGATGTTTATTGGCCTTCGCTGGGGGCCATTACATTCATTATTAAATAATTTTAAACAGGAAGCATCACTCTATGTCCAATTTGTTTAAAAATATAAATTGCTTGATGTTTGCCCCTTAAAAACTTAAAACAAATCACACATGCATAATAATAAAATAAATAAATGGAAATTTCAATAAGTTTTTGTCAGTAACATTTTATTTTTAATCTAAAACTAATGAATTAAATAAAGAATATAAACTATCGATCTATACCCTCCAAATACGGCTTGTTAAAACAATTGAAAACTTATTCCTTTATTGTTCACCCACATAATAATTTGTTTATTCAAATTAGAAAAATTTGCGATAATAGTTAATATTACATTTACAATTATTCGCTTGACTTATGAAGATCATGTTCGATATCTGCATAGTGGAGCGGACCCTGCACTATTTACACATTATTGCATATTTATATACATAGATATATCTGTAGATCGTATGTATTCGTGATTATGCGGAGCCTATACGTATGTTGTATGTGTATATTTATGTATACGATTAGTTAAGTGTAAGTATGTGCAGTTAAATTAAGTTAGTTTGTATGAACAGTTTACAGTTAGGTCTTAGGTCTAAACGTTTTTCTATTCATAGAATTTGTATTTGCTTTTGCATTTGTTAACAAGGTTTGGTTTTTTCTCCTGTGAATTTTAATCAATTTTTAACTTTTAACTGAACCACTTGTTTTTGGGAAACATGAATATATTTTGAAATAAATTAATGAGAAACGAGGGCGTTAGAAGTTGGTTGAGGGCGTTTTGTTGGTGGCTCAGCCACATATAACAATTGGAACTGAGAACTCAATACAAAGCAGGATTGCAACAACTTGAATTCGAGGCGCTTTATTGTTTTTGAAACAATAGCAGCCAGTGCAACAGCAACAGAGCCGCTGCTAATGCACAAAATCGTTGGGAATATAGTGCTGCGGCTCCACGATCACGCTGGTATAATGGGGCGTGGCCACCACCGCCGCCGCCGCAGCAGCTGCATTTACGCTCTTAAAGCTCTCAGCAAAATCGCTGACCACTCGCTGTTGCTGCTGCTGTTGTTGCTGGTGGGGCATCGCATATTGCTGCTGTTGGTATTGCTGGTGTTGCTGCTGTTGCGTCTGCAATCTTTGCTGCTGGTGCTGTTGCAGATGCTGCTGCTCCAGTAAATGTTGCTGTTGCTGATGCTGGTGTTGCTGCTGCTGCTGGGAACTGTTGTCGGAAAAGTAGCTCAATTCGAAGTTGTGGCTGAGATCGCTGTAGGTTGTTTGGGAGGGCGACGTTCCGTTCACAATCGAGGCATTGCCGGTGGACAGCTGGCGCTCGCTCTCCGAGCTGCTTGAACAACTGTTATTGGAGTTGGCCGAGAAAGGACGAATCATTGACGTGGCCACGTCCACTGTGGCATCGTACTCATAATAATAGTGATTATTGTTGTTATAGTACAGGTTTCCCGTGGTGGTATCCGGGTATTGCATTTCCGTGGAGTAAACTCCAGACGACGAGGCGGACGCCGATGAGCCACCGCCCGCACTGGAGGCGGTGCCTCCGCCCACTGAACTGCTGGAGCTCACCACCAAGTCGTTGAGCGGCGGATATAGTTGGGTGTAACTCAGGCTATCGTGATCCATGCTGGCAGATTGCTGGTGTTGCTGCTGCAACTGGTGGTGGTGCCACACTCCACCGCTGTTGTTGTTACTGCTGTTGTTGTTATTCGTGGGCACGGGCGTCACAGCATTCGGTGGCTGCAGTGGCAGCTCCGGCTCGAAGTAGGGATCCAGTTTGGGACTCGCACTGAGGGCCAGGCTCACGGGCGTTCCGGGCGCCGTCACGCCGGCGCATTGTGGCTGGACCACAACCACCTGGGCGGGAGGCGGCACAACCTGAGCCGCCTGGGCTGCCTGGGCCGCTGCCGCCGCCTGAGCCGCTTGGGCCGCCGGCGAAATGGGCTCTCGCTTTACCACGCCCGTCTGAATCTCGTTCAGCACCAAGTCTTTCACCTCTCGTTCGCTCAGCACGTAGTTCACGCTGACGATGAAAACTTCTCGCGAGGATCGCGAGTTGTGCACTAGGGTGGCGTACGACTGCACCCACACCCAGCCGCCCCCCTTGGTCAGGAAGCGGTAGTATTTGGTGGTCACTTGTCCTTTGTACAGCACTGCAGGAAGGAAGGAACAAGTTAGAAAAGTTGGAATATGTAAACGGTTTTTGTTATCTTACGGATTTGATGGGAACAGCGCATTGCCATTATGTCCGCGGCGTGGATATACTGATACAGGGTCTTCTCGATGAGGTCCTGCGGCTCGTATCCGGTTAGCTGCGATACGCTGTAAGCAAATAAACAGACGACATCAGTTTGGGGTTAAGTTTTGTCGGCTTGTGCAAACACTGAATAATGTCCATTGGTGTTGCCTTTTGTCGCTAGTGGTGCTACTGGTTTATTTGCCAGCTTTACTTTTCCCGTCAACTTCAATTCAATTATGCAGAAACAACAAAAATGAATACAGGCGACCAAATCAGCCCCTGGAGTCCTTGCCATTTGGGGTGGCTCGACGACAGCCAGAAGGGGACGGATATATAGACGGCATCATGAGGGTAATTGAGTGACAATAATGTCAGACAAAGTGGGCTGGTTTTTTGGCCCGCCAGGCACTTACACAGCCTCCCCTCCCCCAGGTGGCGTCCTTTGCTTCCTTCCTTCCACACAGGACAAAGGAAAAAATCAAGCTCAAGAGGGAAATGATTTGTTTTTCTT